GTTGGACATATGTTGGTTGGTTGGATGACTTTCTTTCTTTTCTCCTCCCATGGATTCTTTGGTTTAAAGTTTGAGCATGTTGCCTCATTCAAGCTTGGGGGAGGGTATTCTATCATGTTTGGTGGAATTTTGATTCATATATGCCATGCACATTTGTATATGCTTTTCCATTTTCTATGTCTTGAAAATCACAAAAAGATTTTTGTTTCTATCAAGGCAAATTTGCAATGTATTTTCTTTTGTTCTTGCTTTGGACATAATACTTTTGGACTTGTATTCTTGAATGTCTTTCTTCCTAAATTTTAGAGGTGTGCACGGTTTGAGAATGTGTTAGGTTGACTCTAGGATATGGTATGCTAAGGTAGTTGGCTAAGAACTTTGGGACCATGAAGCTCTAGTTCACTTGCTTGTGGTAAGATGGAGTTGCTCTCTATAGTGGATATGAAATCAAGAGTTAGTTATTGCTATCCCTAGTGATGTATAATTGTTCTAGCCTTCATCATACTTTGTTGAGCGGCATATTTGGATCCTTGGCTATTGCATTCTCATATCTAGAACTTGACTTTTAGCTCCCAAGATCGCGACTGAGCCACTTTAGGGGATGACAAAGACATTTCTCTTTTTATAGGATTAATTTTCAATTTTGGATTTGGTCTGCAATTGCCCCTATTACTAGCCCATTTGAGCCATATACATTCTTTTCTCTAACCTTAATACAAGCCTTCCAACCTTAGTTTCACTTTAAATCCTACCTTTAGTTTGTGAAGCAATTTTGTTTTGGAGCTTGTTTTATTGTTTATGGTGCAAGTTTAGAATTATAAGTTCATTTGCAAAGCAAGTATGTGTTGTATATAATTTTTTGCATAAAACCAAATACATTTTGAGAAAAAAGCCGTCCAAAGTTAAAAGAGGCAAGGACATTTAAAAAAAAAAAAAAAAAAAAAAAGGAATTATTGAAAAAAAAAAGGGGTAAAGAAGAATGTAAAGCACAAAAAAAAAGGGGGTTTTGTTATTGTTGTTCTCCCTGTTTTTGTTATTTTGTGTTAAATAAGCTTGGGGGAAAGTTATTTAATAAGCATACTTGGCACTTTTGTTTTGGAATCGTTTGGATCTTGTGGAAGAAGTTCCACCCGTGCTTCACATAGGTTTACCACCAATTTCAAGAGTTCTCCACACCTTTACTCTCCTAGCTTAGATTTTAATACCTTGAAAGTCCTTTTGATCCTAGAGGGTTAAGTCATTCAATGATGGCGGGAAATAGGAATCAAGCCTATAGAGCGAGTTTGCATAGCCAAGATGTCGGGTAACCTTCTCAATGTTTTTAATTTCTTATTTATTTTCCGGTTTCTTCGTGGAATCATGAGAAGCTAACTTGAAAGTGGATTTGAAACTAGTAGAGAGAACGTGGTTTGATTGGTTGAAACAAAAGGTGGAATGTGTTTCCTTTAGTTCTCTATGCTTAGCATATGTTATGTTTCAATCAACCTTGCACATCTTAGAACGTGCATACCTTTATTATTTTAGAAAGATTGACATTCATTAGTGTTTGTTCCATCATAAAAGTCCACTCTAGAACGCTTGTAACTTTTCTCTTACTTCGATTTATTTTATTTTATTTATTTATTGCCTTGCCTTGATTTTTGTCAAGAGTTATGGGTTAAACTCTTAGGACACCCTTACGAGAGCTTACTCGTCCTCTAGAGCGATCTATGGGGTTTAAAGTGCTTGATGCATGCGCTAAATGCATTCGTGATTCCTACGGAAGTGAGTTAGTGTATATTCTTTCTCTTCTAGTTTTATTTTATTTTATTGTTTTTTTAAAAAAAAAAAAAATATACATCGTTTTCCGTTGTGTTTGTTTTGTTTTGCTCGAGGATGAGCAAAAGTTAAGCTTGGGGGTGTTTGATGAGTGACATTTATGTTACCCTTAGGGGTAGTGTATTGGTCTCTTTTCTCCTGTTTTTCTTAGGTTTTCTACCTCTTTTCTCCTCTTATGGATTCCTTTTCTTTTATGGATGAAAAGTATGCTTATTTGCACTTGTTTTGATAATCTTTATGCATAATTTTATCATCCCCATGCTCTCGTGATCTTTGCTATCTTTTGCAGGTTCCATGACGGTCCTAAGCACGGTAGGAGGCCCCTTGGCCAAGTATGGAGGCATGGACAAAGACAAGAGGAGCAAAAGGGAAGAAGAGGAAGCAAGAAGAGGAAGTTCAAGAGGAGGTGTGGCCGAACCTCTAAGAGGTTCGGTCGAACCAAGGTGTGGTCAAACTTTTGAAAAGTTCGACCGAACCTCCAAGGCAGTTTCAACCAAGTTTTCAGCATGTTTACAGGAGGGGTCGAACCAGGAAAGTTCGACCAAACAAGGATCAGGGAGGTTCGACCGAACCTACCCTGAGTTCGGCCGAACCTACCCTGAGTCCGACCGAACCTATCCAGAGTTCGGTCGGACCTTTTCCCGTTTCAGCTGACTTTTTTCGGAGCTTCCTAAGCAATTTTGTAAGGGGTATAAATAGTTTTTTTTGCTCATTAAAGAAAAAAGGATTTTTTAGTTTAGAATAGTTTTTAGGTTAGTTTTAGGTTTTAGAGAGAGAAACTCTCAAAATTTTAGAGAGAGAAAGTGAGGAGCACAATGGTTTTCATGGATTTTGGATAATCAAATGAGGAATTTGAAGATCTCCACCTTATATCAATGAGCATTTCTTACTTTCTCTTCTCTTATTGCTTTATTTAGTTTCTTTCATTATGCTTGAGTAGTTTCCCTTCTACTAGGTGTTGAGTGAGACTTTGTAATGATTGTTTGAGTTATTTGAGATAAATTTGATGATAATTGTGTGATTAAATTGATTGAATTGATGTTGGCATGTTGTTTGTTTTAGATTGGATTGATCTCCCATGATAGCACACTTAATTGCATATTGGTTTTAGTTTGACAAGGGATTGTGAATTAGAATTGATATATTTGATTGCATTTTGGGTAATTTTCTTCTATGCACCTAGTCAATGAGGGATCTAGGCTAGGAATTTGAGAGATTACTTTTGAGTGTAGTTAATTCTCATTATAATTCTTTCTTTGCATGATTGATTATCAAATGGATTCTCATTAGCTTATTAATTGTTCTAAGTGGATCTTTTCCCCTAGTAGACTTTATCATACCTTGTTCTTTATATGTGTTTTAGTGTAGTTGTAGTGTCCACTATCCATAAACCGATTTCGGCGTAGCTTAAGCATTAGATCGAGAACAATCCAACATTACCGTTCCTTGTGGTTCGACTCCGAACTTACCACTAGACTTGTTTAGGGGTTAGTTTTAGGATTTATAAATTTATTTGATTGAGTGTGGAATGTGCGACCGTTCTAACGCCCGTCAATACACCTCCAAATCAAATAAAAAACAAAACCAAATCTTAATTTGTTAGTGAAAAAAATAATCAGAGTAATCTGATTTTAGAAGGAGAAGGAGAAGAATGAGAGAGCGGAGAGATGAGAATTTCAAGATAATTCCATGAAACTACCCAGAACCAATTGAATTAAAAATAAACATCAAATTCCCAAACTTAATCGAAAAATCCCCTAACCAAATTAATTTGAGGATGCTAGGCAATTGATAATGAAAATTTGAAGAATTAATGAGAGAAGTAGAGAGATAAGATCTAAAATTTGAGTGAGGTAGAATGGATGATGGGCAATGGAGAATTGGGGACTTTGTTTTTAATTGAAAAAACTGATTATGAGATAGCAGAGATGAAGATGAAATTTTGATAGTGACTAGTGAGTGGAAATCGCTACTTCAAGTAGCGGTGTTCCTACTTTAACCGCCATCTGAGATAGCGATTTTACCAAAAAAAATAAATAGACAAAAAAAAAAATTCATTAAATGGCTAACGCGGACAGTAATTTGGGAATTTTAAAAACAGTAGCAGTATATATGGAATTGTCATTCTTCCCAACAATATTTAGGGAAAGCACTCTTTTACAATGTTGATAATTAGAAATATTAATCATTAAAAACATGCGTTGGCAAGCGTGATAATAGAAATGTGTCAACTAAAAAAAACAGAGGAAGTATAATATAAATTTTTCTTATAATTGCACACGTGTGCGCCTCTTAGCTTGTTAGGATAATTATGTGAACTATGATGAAAAAAAAGACCGGGCCTTTAAATACTATAGTGGAGGCAATTTTTAAGAGCTATAACCTTGATAGATGACATTCTTTTTTCCTTAACATAACCCCTTGCATATATAAAGCCCTAAGTAGGTTGGCTTGGATGACTAGGAGCAACATCCGGTGTTTGGTTGTATGAAAAAAATCAGTGGATTTAGATTTCTTAGCTATCTTCTTCTACTCATATTTTGGTGGTTATCCTATAGGCACAGACCAAGGTTGCTTCTTTTAGGCGTTTAAATTTTTGACCATTTCTAATTCCTTCTCGTTTTGAGCGAGTGAATATCTAACCATAGAAAGCTCAAGCCTTGGTTCCATATACTTAGCGAGCACTTATTTGATTAGATTATTATCCCTCCATACCAAGGTTGCAATGATGTCAAAATTTGACAAAACTAACCCAATCCAAACAATCAAACTCATCTTTAATTTGTATCTAAACCTAGAAGACTATAATTCATTTATATAAATCGATATATTTCGATCCTCCTAAGCTACAACAATCTAGATCCAAACAGATTACTCCGCATCGAACCCAATATTGAACAACCCGATTGCAACCATCACAACAATGTAATCACTAATCAGATCTGAACCAAGAACTACTCACCAAACCCGATATTGAACAATCCAATTGTAACCACTCCCACAACCCTGCACAATCAACAACCGAATCCAAACCAAAAAATCTACATTAAAATCGTTACTGAACAATCCACTGTCGCCCCTTCGAGATCAAGATAGCATGTAAAACGAGTGTCCCAGGTAAATTCCTCTAAAAGGGTAATTTGTAGTAGTATACTAAATAAAGAAGTGGCAAAATCTAGAGCACTCTCTCCTTCTCCCTCTCGACTCTCCACATCATAGTCACTTCTCTTCCTTCCATATCTCTCTCTTTCTTACCAACACCAAATACCATGACCCTCAGCTAAGACACCCCCCATCTTCATTCTCCCTCATTTCATGTCTCCCCCCAACAACAAGCGCCCTTCTTCCGCCTCCACCACTGCCGCTTCCAACACCAACACCAGCCTCTCCTCCGCCAACTCCGCCGCCTTCTCTTCTCCGATGAAGAAGCCCAAGTCCCACTCTCAGTCCCTCGACTCCAAGAATGGCCTCCACCATTCCTTCAACTCCGCTGCCGATGACGATACGGATAACGCTGCTTCCATGATTGTTGACGACGATCTCAAGTCTGATGCTGCTGCTGTTTCTCTTTCTTCGAATTCTCGTGCTCCGATCACTGCCGGTGTTACCGCGAATTTGTCTCGGAAGAAGGCCACCCCTCCTAATCCCTCTACCAAGAAGCTTGTTATCAAGCTTGTTAAAGGTTTTACTCTTTCTCTTTCTTTTTCTCATCCCTGATTTTGGTAATTTGGGATTTTGAATTGTTAGGGTTTTTGGAATTTGCTGTTTGATTGGATTGTTTGTGATTTTTGTTAGATTTTTAGCGGTAGAGTGAGGAATTGAATTGAGGGATTATGTTAGGTTTTTGTTTTCGGGGTGTTGCGAATGATTGAGGGCGATTAGTTGTTGAATTGAGGTAGAAATGGCGGTAGGTTTACATTAGCTTAGCTATTTAAATGTTTAAGGTTTTTAGTGAAGATGAGTGCTTTTTGGCGAGGATGATAGCGCTTGGATTCGGTTTTTGGATGGAGGTTTTTAAGAACATTCGTTGTCCGAAGATGTTTGAGGATATGGTAAATACGTCCTGCTGTGGTTGCTGTTGTTTCCATCATTAGCAGTGTGTGATTTATATCTATTTTATTTGGGATAATGAATAGTTGGAATTATGGTCATATAGACAAAGTTTCCTAATTTGTGACTTGAGGTACTATGTAAATTTGAAAGGTATATAATTAAGAGGTAATTTGTGACTTGAGGTACTATGTAAATTTGAAAGGTAAAATTAAGAGGCGAATGGGATTAGATATGTAAATTTTGTTGGTACGAACTTGGAATAGACTGAGTGGATTCTTTACGCCATTTTTGTCTTAATTTTAGCAGACATGTCAATGGTGGGATCTTCATCAAGTGTTGCTGCTTTATTGTTAATTTCAGGTTTACGGTGGAGGTACAGGGTTAGCTTCGTATACATGCCATTAGTGGCATTCATGTTGTATAAATTTGTTTCAGTGTACCTTTAGGTTTTGATTGTTACTTAAATGCAACCAAGGGGAGGGGGTTTACAAAGTATAATACTTTTTCCTTGTATTAGTAAAACCTGTAGTCACTTTCCGCACTTGTCCTTGCTGCACTAAGAACAGGAGAAACTGAATTTAGTATAAGGACCTTCAGGCTGCCAAACCATTGCATTGGTGCATTCAAAGTCATAGGAAATGGTATTTAAGTAATTACTATCTATTATTGTATTGCAGTCAGCTTGTCTAATATTGTTTTCATCATCTATGTGCTCATCTTTCAGGTTACCTTACAATTTCCCAACCTCTAGGTTGTCCTAAGGTAGCTTGCATTGGTGAATACCATAGTGCACTAGACTGCTCGGGATATTGCTAGTCAAGAGTTCTTATCCCAAATTTGTTGTTGGTTATCTATTAGTGTTGTAGTGGTAGAAGCTATTCATCAAGGGTGAATTTATGTTGATTAAAGTGGTAAATCAACATTTTGGGTGCTAGTGTCCATAGTTTTTGGCGGTATTAATTTTTTTTTTTTTTTGCCTGTGTAACTTCCATTAGCCATAAAGTTAATTTTCTTGATACTATCATTTCCCACTGTACATAACGTCCCCAGTTAATTTTGGGATATGTATTGAGGCCGTTATTCATTGAACAACTTCATGTTTGTTGGAGATGAGTATCTCTCTTGAATAGTATTTCAAAAAAAAAAAAAAAAAAAAAGTATCTCTCATGAATGGAAAAGGTGAGGATCCTAGATTTAAGTAATGTTGGTGGTGCATGTTATGGGTAGGATATAGGTTAGGATGGGATTATCTTTAAAGATGTTTGCTGAGTTGAGAAATAATTTTTAGTAATTGTTAAATGCTAGATTTTAGGTACAGTTTTTAGAGATTGACCTGGCTATATTTGAAGTTCTCAACGAATGGTGTGAAGAATTTTGTATTAGACGAGCTCTTTGTCTTAGGTGAGAAGCTCTCTGTCCTTGCAACAAGGATGAAGATTAAAGATGGGTGGGTAACAACAAATTGGACTTTACAGGTGCATCTGAAATCAACCCAACCAGCAAAAGAAATCTTAGTTTGCCTCCAAATCCGAGTCCAAGTCTGTATTACTGTATTGCTCACTTTCAAGTCCAATCTATTCAGATATTCTCACTTTCTATTACAAATCCACAAAAATTTTTGTTTGATACTATTTGTGGTTCTCAAAAGAAAATTATTGTAAACAACAATTCAAAAGGTCAATAAACCAACCAAGGAGTTGTAGAATGACTTATAGGTAAAATTGAAATATATTAATGAGTATAACAAATCTATTCATAAGTAAGCGTTTAAAATAATTTTTTTTTAATCTATTACATACTAGTAAAGGCGAAACTAAGAGGGACACTTGGCAACGTGTTATAAATATTTTCCCTCCAAAATTATTTGTTAAAAAAAAAAATCATTATTACATAGAAAGAAGTTTTGTTTCTAAAGTAAACTTCCTATAATATAAAATTGCCCATTATAACTATTATATGTTTAATTATATTCTGTCATATATTTAAATGTTTTAATATATTTCATACTTTTAAATGCTTGGTGAGTTGATTCATTACTTTTTTGTTTATATAAATTTATTGTCATTAAAAATATTAAACAACCGTGTATTGCACGGGGTTTAATTTAGTTTACAATACAAATTGCCATATACACCTTGTGATTTGGAAAACTGAAAGGTAATTAACACTTACAGGAGCCAACGATGGCAAAAAATTAATTTGAATCCAATAACTTAATGATTTGTTCCTTTTTATTTATCTTTTTCTACTAGCAAATTAAACCTAGTCCCAATTGATAAAACTAGAAATGAAGTCAAGTACATACGTCCTTGAAGAATGACAGGGAGAGAAGCTTAGATTGCTTTTTGGAAACTGAAGTTAGTTGATTGGCTTTAATGAGCAAATGCAATAAACGGGGGGAGAGAGGGGTTTTGACTCTTGGCTGCAAAGTTAGAACAAGTGATGGGCTTAAGGTTTACTTTGGCTTAATACTCTAAAGAATCAGCAAAGTAAAAAAAAATTCACTGGCCTTTTAATGAGTTTAACCTGGTTCATATACTTGTAGCCTTCGAACTCAACCTGATTCCTATTCAGTTTTGTTTTCAAACAGTTTGGACTCAAATATGGGTTGGAAAATTCCTTTGCAGTGAGTCGGTCATGGATTGGATTCAGATTTAATTGCTGCCCTTAATGAAAATAAAAAATATAGGTGTTAAGGATATGGGAAAAGTCCTACAATTCAAAGAAAATGACAAATCAATTGCAAAACACACATGAAAAATAAAGAATTATGGGGAAGTGCCTTTGATACAAGGTAACAATCATTGTTACTTGTAATATTTAGTATATTTGTTTGCACTAAGGCATGCCTATTGCGTTGAAGGATCATCCTTAATTGTGCCTTCATTGAAACAAGAAAGGTAGTTGTGGAGTAGAGAGCCTTTTTATAATTTGAAGGAATTTTTGTGAAAAACCACCTTTTAAATCCTTGTTTTTGTGAAAAATCACCTTTTAAAAAAAAAATTGTAAAAAACCACCTAATTTAAAATTATTGTTGTAATTTGCCACCGCCAGCATAACAAATCACGACTAAAACATTTATAGTTGAAGCTCATTTTCGTACAGCAGGTGGTGAATTACAACAAAGATTTTAAATTAGGTGGTTTTTTACAGCATTTTTTTAAAAGGTGGTTTTGTCACAAAAACAAGGATTTAAAAGGTGGTTTTTGAAAAAAATTCCGAATTTGAATGCAAGTTTCTCTATCTCTGGCCACCAATTAAGTACATTCTTCCACTTACCTGGAACTTTACTTCCCTTTTTTAACCACCAAATGTTATCCTAAAATTACATAGGAGGCTTTCTTAATTCTGATACTATTGGAACAATTAGGAAATATCTGTTTTCATATCTGCTCTCCTAAGACACAGCTTGTGGACTTTTCTAATGCTAAATTTTTGTTACTAAACTTTCAGGTGATACTGATATTACATGGTACTTTGAATGGTATTAAAGCCATTTAATTATCGGCTATAATTAGCTATAACATCTATCTATGGGTGACGATGGCTTTTTACTGGAAGGATATTCACTTATAACCAAAAAATATCACAACTATTTAATTTTCTTGTTCTAATCTTAGTAATTTGGCAACAATCAATAGAACAAATATCTTCCTGTTCCTAAAAACAAACTTGAAAACAGTAGCTCTTCCATAACACTATTTATGGCCCTTGTGTGAGGCAGATGCTGACATTGTAATCAGGGAATTTGCCTATGTCATGTTAGAGAAAAAGAGTGATGGAATCCAGGGATTCTACTTTCATATTTTTTCAAATTTATTCTATATCAGAAAATTAAGGATATTATCAGAACTTTGGGAATTGGGATAAATGCAGCAGTACTAGGAGTTTAAGTATCAGAATGTTGAGATGAAATTTACACAAATTTCTGACATTTATTTATAACTAGTGAAGAGGAACCAAAAAACTAAAGAGGAGACCTGAAAAAAATGTTCTCCATTAGTTATATATTGATATTTTCATCATCATGAATGAAGTTTAGGGATTAAAAATGTTTACAAGGAATTGTGAGTGCTTCATGTTTTTTTTTTTTTCTGAAGAGGAATGGGCTTTATAGGTTGTGTTTGGTTATCAGTGTTTGTTGTTTCAATTAAGGTCGTTGCTAGAGGTAGAGTGAATCCATTTATGTTGTGGGCTTTTGTGTCACGACCATTTTGTCTTTCTTCCTTCATTTTTACATTACTTCGGTAAGACTTAATGCCGACGCATCAGATTTATTTTCTAGTACAGCATGTTGCAATATCTTGGAAATTCACTCTTTGATTATCCTGTGGTAGCTGATGTAAATGATAACGGTGTTCCTTTAGAATCCTTGGGTAATTGTATTGATTATATTGTTCATGGTATGTGGAAGCAAAACAGCTGGGTTCATCATGCTGCCATTTGACTGTTTTCAATCTGATTAGAGTTTATCAAATGGAATTGGAAAGTAATATTTACTGAGAGTGTATCTATTCCAGATGCTGATTTGACTTTATTCTAATTTTGCTCATTGTGAAACAGCTAAGCCCACCCTACCCCCAAACTTCGAGGAAGATACTTGGGCAACCTTGAAGTCAGCCATCAATGCTATATTCTTGAAGCAGCCTGATTCGTGTGACCTAGAGAAACTTTACCAGGTAAATAAACTCACAACTTCCAAGTCTTTCCAGAGTAGAAAACACAAACTGCCTTGTCCTTTGTGGAATATTATTCACACTTGTGAATCTCAAATTTTTAGGCTGTTAATGATCTTTGCCTGCACAAGATGGGGGGAAGTCTTTATCAAAGAATTGAGAAGGAGTGTGAAGCCCATGTTTCTGCGGTACTGCATTCATTGGTTGGACAAAGTCCAGACCTAGTAGTTTTTCTATCACTTGTTGAGAAATGCTGGCAGGACCTTTGTGACCAAATGCTGATGATTCGTGGCATAGCTTTGTATCTTGATAGGACATATGTGAAACAGACCCCAAATGTGAAGTCATTGTGGGACATGGGATTACAGCTATTTCGTAAACATCTTTCTTCATGTCCTGAAGTTGAGCACAAAACCGTTACTGGTCTTTTGAGAATGATCGAGAGGGAAAGGTAAATTTGCATGTTTCTTTGCTTAGTATTTTTTATTATTTCTAAACTATGCTCTATGGACATATGGCTGAAATATGCAATGTCATCTGTATCACAACTTTGATCCCTTGCACAATATTTCCATCATACAGATTAATTTGACTGATATTTTGGTTCCTCTGCTTTTTCCCTATGCTATTGTTATGTAGTATTGTGTGATATATCTCTAAGAGGACAACTTATCTTTACACCTGCTGTTGATATATTTTGCCGATGCCTTTTGTTTGTTCTAGCATGTTGTTTTGAATGGTGGTTGAAGCTAAAATTTGATATTTGTTCGTGAATTATATTCTGCACTAGTTTTTACAGTTGAGAGCTAGGCTTTTATTTTAACCTTTTTGGAACCTTTTTTTTTTTGGTGTGTGTGTGGTGTGTGCACGTGTGTGCATGCGTGTGTGTGTGTGGAATAGAGTTATCTTCATATTGCTTTCTGTTTTTTGGCATGTTCATTTCATATTAATCTTATCTTGCTGTTATAGACTACCTCCGGCAAGTATTGATTAATAATAAATTTGTAATTATGCAAGAGTTTAGAGTAGGAAGCTTAGTTAATTGATCAATAATGCGAAATTGCTTACAAGGATTAATAGCTTTAGGTTATCACTCTCAATTAGTAGCTTTAGGCTTACAACTCTCAGCACGTGTTTTCTCTCAATTTCTGGATGATTGCTATTCTACTACTCCTGCCTTTTTATACTCAAGCTCTATTACAAGGGTTAAACTTACTCTTTAATTACATTGTTCTCTACTGCCAAAAGTATCAAATGTTCAGAGAATCAGTCATTTCCCCCTCCCCTTAGTGCTTCGTTGATGACTTTTGTTCTGTTCGTCCTTTTGCTGATTTGGCTGTTCTGTTCCTTGTACTCCTGACCCCTTGATTTTGTTCTGCCTTCGAGCATAGACCCTTAGTGGTGGCTGACCCAAATGAAGTGGCTGACCCGAATTACGTACTGGGCTACTTGGGTCCATGACACTTGCTGTTTCAGAGGAAAAGAAGAGGGACTAAGTGCTTGTAGTACACTTAATATGTAGTATTATATTTGTGCTTCTTTCTTTTGATTTTACCTGAAGGTTTTTTCTTTCTTTTCTTTTCTGTTAACCAATTTTTTTTTTTTTTTTTTTTTTTTTTTCTTATTTTGCCATTTCAAAGGAAAGAAGAGGGACTGAAATGCTATTTTTACATCTGTTATGGTTTATATTTATGCTGCTTTTATTTTTTTTTCGTCTTTCTGTGATCAAAGAAATTTGTTCGAGTTATTTGTAAATCATTGGACCTTATATACGTTTTCTTTAACAATAGGTGCTATCTGATAACAAAATTGTGTACAGAGTTTCTGCCGTTGTAAGGTGTTTATTTTTTCATTTTTGTTACTGTTTCCCAGATTAGGTGAAGCTGTTGATAGGACTCTTCTGAACCATCTTTTGAAAATGTTTACTGCCCTTGGAATTTACCAAGAGAGCTTTGAAAAACCATTCCTGGCTTGCACAGAGGAATTTTATGCTGCTGAAGGTGCAAAATACATGCAGCAGTCGGATGTTCCAGATTATTTGAAGCATGTCGAAGTATGTGTTTGCTTTTAGTATTCCCTCTAGTTTAAAGCAGTTTTTTTTTTCCTTGCATTATTCATTATTATGATACTGGAACTGTGTGTTTGTATTGCTGTTATTGTTATTTAATGGGTGGCATATGATATGGCTATTCCTATACAGCAACCTTTCTGCGGTCAAAATCTGATACTGACTTCTTTGCAGATAAGATTACATGAAGAACAAGAAAGATGTCTACTTTACTTGGATGCAAGTACTAGAAAACCACTCATCTCAACGGCTGAAAAGCAGCTTCTTGAGCGTCATATATCTGCAATACTTGATAAGGTATGACTTTTGCAATACTTGTGGCATCTCTGCACTTTCATCTCTTGCGTTTTGCTGTATTATTACTGAAGTGTTAACATATTGACCAGGGCTTCATGATGCTGATGGATGGAAGTCGTGTTGATGATCTCCATAGAATGTACAGTTTATTTTCCAGGGTCGATGCCCTTGAGTCTCTGAGACAGGCACTAAGTTCATACATCCGCAAAGCTGGTCAGGCTACAGTAATGGATGAAGAGAAAGATAAAGACATGGTTTCTTGCCTCTTGGAGTTCAAGGCAGCACTTGATAAAATATGGGAAGAAAGTTTCTCAAAGACTGAATCATTTGGAAATACTATCAAAGATTCGTTTGAGTTCCTAATTAATCTACGTCAGGTAGGCATTTTAAAAGCATACATTTTCTAGTTACGAACTTGAAGTCAAGTTAGCTAATACAAAAATGAATGTGGGACATGCATGTGTACTATATTTTATTTCTTTTGTTCTCTACGTGCTTTGCTTGGCTATATTCATGCATATCAAATCTAACTTTATACTCAATTTAATAGAACCGTCCTGCGGAGCTGATTGCGAAGTTTCTGGATGAGAAACTTCGAGCGGGCAATAAGGGAACATCTGAAGAGGAATTGGAAGGAACCCTTGATAAAGTTTTGGTTTTATTCCGTTTTATACAGGTAAGTTTGTTTATGTAAAGTGGAATTTTGAAGGTTCTCTTTTTGTTGCAATTGACCTGCATCCAAGAATTTTTTTCTTTGTTCTATTTATTCAATCTATGCTATATTTGGGCCAATATCTCATTCCTTCTGTTTATTCTAGGGTAAGGATGTTTTTGAAGCATTCTACAAAAAGGATCTTGCGAAGAGGCTTTTGCTAGGAAAGAGTGCTTCAATTGATGCTGAAAAGTCTATGATCTCAAAGGTGACTTTATTGATATAATTCTGATTGTTTGAAGTTCAATTATTCTCTCTGATCATTTTTTTTGGCATTGCAGCTCAAAACTGAGTGCGGTAGTCAATTTACTAATAAACTTGAAGGAATGTTCAAGGTATGGTTCTTATCTTGGAAATTGTTATTTTAAACAAGCAACTACTAATTCAATTGTTTACAATGTGATTACGTGACATACAGCATTGTTTGGATGCAACCTTTTTTTTTTTTTTTTTTTTTTTTTTTACTGTTGAGAGTACTGTTTGTCCTCTTCTGATTTATTTGTATCTGATACCCATGGTTTTCCAAAGGAAAAAAAAGCCTTTTCTTGTCCAAAATAAAATATTAAAAGTAATTTAAACTATGATGAATTACTTGCATCTTATCTTATCTTATCTTATCAAGTGGGATTATTTACCAAAGCTGAATAAGAAATTAACTCGAGAGTCTGAGTTTGCGTTAAGGGACTTTAGGTTTAATGTTTCCCAATTTTAAACCAGTACAAAGCCATAATTTACGAAAGCTGCTTGGCCTTCTGTCTAGCTTATCTTGTTATTTTCCTCTTTAGCTTATATTTTTTTATCAAAAATGAAGTATATTAATTTTGGTGTCTTTTGGCTGTTTACATCATGTGAAATAAAGGTTCATATGGTTTGTTACATACTTTTCCCATAAATCAGAGGTTAACTATAAGGATAGCTCTTGAATCATTGAGGTTGATGGCATGTTGAGAAGCTGATCTTTTAGCTACATGGTATGTTTAGAAGCTGGTCTTTTGGTGGACATAGGGTCCAAGTACTTGACTGGATCACTGAGGCGAAAGAGGGGGGGGGGGTGTTGATGTATTGACCAAGGGAAAGAGGTTGTTTAATTTCTTCGGTGGTCTGCTGTGTGAAAACAATTTGTAATCCAAAAATAAAAACTATAAAACTGCCAGCTGATTTTGAATAGTTAACATCAGGCAATTGTTTTGAGACTGTAATTTGCTGAGAGGCCTAAAGATGCAATTCATGTGCTTATGAAGCTTAGGTATTCATTTTAGGTAATCATGCTTTTAATTTAGATTTAACTTTTAGCATTGTGCTTGGTATAGTGTAATGAAGATGATGCCCTAACCCATGTTAGCTTAGTGTTCTAGGGCCTTCTATTTGAAAGATGTATTAAATCATCTTCACTGGTGGAAATGGATGGGTTTGGTCATTTCAGTTGTTATTTATTACATGAACCAAGAGTAGAGGTTTATAATACAATTAGACTCTGAATTTTGGTGAATGTGATTTATAAGAATAGGTATATGAGATTTTAATATGGTGTGTAAATGAACATCAATTATAAATGATTTACCGTGTTAGTTCAACTTAGGTTGGATATCTTGTGGGAGCTATTTCTAGGGGACACAGATTATAAACATGGACTAAATGATTTTCATATGCATGTTGTCTATATTATGGTTTGAGGTACATATGGCCTATCTATCTTATAATTTAAGAGTTTTTTTTTCCTAACTTTTCACCACTAACACTCGAAAACTCCAATACTCAAATCTTATGCATTTGAAGTTTATTTAAATTTTTTTTATAAAAAAGAAACTACCAATAACTACCTATCCCACTGTTTTCCTAAAATTTTGTTTCAAGGGACTCCAATAACTACAAACATTTCACTTTGTATTGTTGTCTTTCACGAATAACGTATCTCGTGCATTAGCACGGGTATGCTCTAGTTTAAGAAATATAAGAGTGGGGAAGTGATGTAAGATAGAAATTGTTGGATCCATTAAAAGTTATAAGAATTAGCCTCCTGCTTAAATAAATATGCAAATCAACTTTAAGAATATAGCTCTAGTAGTGTGTTCGAATGATGGAATTTTGAGGAAAAACAAGAGTTGAGAGGTAAAAGGATTTATTTTAACTTATTTGATAAGGAATGGAAAATTGAGGTATCTGTATCTTCTTTTTTTTTTTTTTTTTTTTAATTTAATTTATTTTTTTTTTTAAATTTTTTATATACCAATTCCTTACATTATTAAACATTTGTAAAGATTTTAGATTGATGGGCTAAATAAACATCAAATATTTTTTCCATATTAATTCAACTTAGGTTGGGTTTCATTTGGGAGCCATTTGTAGTGAGTGCAATTAATATATGTGGGGTAAATGGTCATCACATCGTGTTCTGTCCGTTTAATGATTTGAGTGTACATATGGCTGTCTAAGAAATGGGAGAGGAGAGAGGGAAAGGATAATGTAAAATGGAAATTTTCAAATTTATCAAAAGTTTAAGAATTAACAGTTAAAGCAAAATTGAGATATCATTCAGCTTAAAGATATTTGGCTCTAATAGTGTGATTGGATAATGCAATTTGGAGCAAAAGGGAGAAATTAGAGGTAAAGGAATTTACTCTGACTTATTGGATATGGAATGGGGAGAGGAAAGGGATTGGAGAGGTGTTTGTTTTCTTTCCCTTTTTTATAAACTAAATCCTTCCATCATTGAAATGATTTAGGAAGAAGATTCTAGTCCAGTCCTCCTTTCCCCTGCTCTCCCCTCACCTCCTTCCCTTCTCTTTCTTTCCCCTTTCTTCTGATGATCTCCAACCAGCACGCTGTACATTAACTGGTTGTTTTCTAAAATTGCTGGTTGTTTGAAGAATGAGGAAACAACTGTTTGTTAATTAATTGGGCAATGGTACTCTTTCCGTTGGATTGACAGGTTTTTACCTCTTAGAATGATCATTTTCTCTTTTAAGAGGAGATGAAGGGCTGAATGCTGTTGAGAAAGATGGAAAAGAGGGACGAAGGAAAAATCTTAGGGGGAGGAGGGTGGGGGGATTAGGAAGGCAAGAGAAGGTATGCTTAAGATAAGGAAAAGAAATGCAGAAGATTTGGTCATGCGAATGGCAAGAGAACAATTTATACGTCAATACATCAAAAATGCATGCATGTAATTTCAATGTGCACCCTGAATTTAACTTGGACACCAATCAGGCAATCACACATAGAATGCTTTATTAATTTTATATTACTATATACCCTTGTTACTCTACAAATGTCAATGTGATGGATAAGCATAATATCATAATATGAGGCTTCTCCTAATGCTGACTTATTTCTAACTGTTTAATACATTAGGTTTTCCTAGTTTCCCTATTTTTGAATAGAACGTGTATCTATTTGAAGAAGAGCATAACCTCATTTTGAAGAAATCTTGGAGTCTTGAATATCTTGGTCTTTGAAGTGGATTTTGTTTTTCCCCCTCTTTTGAGTTTGTTGGGAAATTGCACATTCCCAATCTTCCCAATGACTGGAACTCGAGTGTTGGGTGGGGGGGGGGGGGTGGGTGTTGTTGTGACTCAATTTTGAGCTAGTGAAAACGGTATGAGACAGTACAGTCTTAGAATGTACATCCAGGCTAATGTGGAGATGAATGGCCTTTGTATGTTTTGACATCTTTCTCTATGGTGGAAACCTTTGTTATGAAATCCCTTATATCCTCAACCTCTTGATGCAAAAAGCCAGCCTGCATTAAGGTGAGGTTTTCTAAGAGATGAGCCTTTGATCAATGGCTATGTTCTTGAAGTCCCAGCAACTGTAGGCCTTGAGCATTCTGTGGAAAATAATGAAAGGGGAAAATCTTCAAATCTTGAAGCAAAATACTCTTATTCAGTAGATTTTGTGTAACTGTTCTTTCAAAAAAAAAAAAAAAAAAAAAAAAAAAAAAAAGAGTTTTGTGTAACTGTAGGGGTAGGCTAAGTTTTTATTACAGGGAATAAAGGCTGTTTATCGTAGGTCTGTAAGTATTAATTGTTGAGGCTATTGCAAGAGATGTAGTTGAAGCAATATTTTGCCATTGTTTCCGAAATCTAATTATGTTTGCTGGAAAGTGTTTGGGAAGAGAGTAAAGGTCTAGCTTTGACTGAAGCTCAACTGGATTCTCTGTTTTTGACATGCCAATAACCTACTTCTGGTAGAACACAGGTGGAGACTTGAAGGAATGTAAAAGATAGTCAATAAACTTCATGCTCAATGCATTACATACTGTGTCTTGGCCTTGGGAACGTGTCCAAGTGTCAACTTGTCTATTTTGTGAAATATTTTGGTTATTTTTTAGCCCAAAGATATGTTGGAGTGCCCGGGGTACTTTGTGTGAAATGAAGAGTCCGAGTAACATAGATTGCATCAACAGAAAATTGTTTTGGATAATGAATTATCGTTCTGCTAATCTGCTCAGATTTTCAAAAATTTTTGCTTTGTTTGTGAAAATAAAGGTTATATAGGGGTTCAAGAGTAACTCCATCTCAGTTATGGTGAAAAAACATTTACAGACAATTTTAACATGTTTGTGGTCTGTTTTTATTGTGGCTTGCAATATTTCACCTAAATAAATGATATCTGAACTTCTGAGGTTATGAGGAATTAGGTAATTCTTCCCTTTTCGTATCTTTTCCTTTTTTTTGATTTTTTTTCATCATATGTACTCCCCTTTCCTTTCCTCTCAGTTACCTCTTTGTAACCTAACATGTCGGTACCTTGGCTATAAAATCCCCTCATTCATGTATTTGATGTATTCAAGCAGTCTTGAACATATAATTTTCTAGACAATAAACAAGATTTGCAACAAGGAAATCTAGGATGAATCTAAAATATAACTTTTCTTAGTATAGTAAGTATCCTTTAAATTGTAGTGCGGCCACCCTAATATTATTACCTGCTGGCTACCTTTTATCATGCTAGACTGTAAGTGCCCTGTTGCAGCTGTAGAGTCGCCGCGAATACTATGCTCTACCTTTCCTCCCGTCTGTCTATGTGAGAATATTGTTTAGATGGTGGTAATAATAATGAATATGGGCCTCTGATCTTGTCCAATTTTGCTGTTAGTTAAGCAACAATTAGTCCTTTTCTTTAACTATTTTTATTAACTCGTCTGCAGTACATAATCAATAAAATGTTTTTTTTTTGCTATTTGCATAGTTTTGATTTCAATTTATGTAGGCCTAAGTATATGCTAGGCAAGTGGATAAGGAAAAATTGGGAAGCTACCTTGAGGATATAAGAATTCAGTTAGGCGTGGAATGCTAGGCGAGGAATTTTGGAAAGTTGTCGGAATTTGTTAAAGGAATTCAACTAGTTTAAATAGAAAGATTGGGAAGGGAATCCAAAAAGTAATTGTTTCTCTTTCATTTTTGTTGTATTGATGATATAATCTCTCCTGCTATGTAGCCTCTGTTTCCCTGTTTTTCTTGCCTTCTCTATTTTCTTGATTTCATCTTAATTTCTTCTCAATCTCAAATTTACGTCTCTCCATCAATATCTTAAAGCAACATTATTTTGGGATACCTGATAGATTCATGTGATTTTAGAAAAATGGCACCAAGCTATGTTACTCAAAGAGTGGAGTTGGTGGAGCAAGAATTAGCAAGAGTACATTAGACTCTCCAACCTTAAGTGCTGGTAGATTGTGGCCAGCTTGACAATGAGGCTGGATAGGTGCCTCGCCACTGTTGTTGTCGCGGCCATAGTGAAGGTGTAGCACAAGTTTTGCAGCGCAAATTTAATTTACAAGATGATGGCATAAATGTGTCAAATATTGGAAGTGGGCGTAAAGATGATGGCATTGACATGCCTTTATCTGATAGGTTTCAACTGGATTTACACTTTGAGCTATCTGAATCCAAATTAATTGCCTTGAACCTTCCTCAAAGGTCTAATGGAGGAGATATAGGAGACCGAATTCAGCCATTGAGCCATGGCTTTTGCTGTCAAAGAGGAAATGGGGCCGGATCTACCAGGCAGTTTTGGGGTCTCATTAAGAACATACTCTACCCCTTATTACGTATGCAATCTTAACAAACTACGTTTATAACCCGAAACCACTTAATCAATTATCTTGGCTCGATAGCTTAGCCCAAAACAAAAACACACAATGAGCCTTCTTCAAGCCTACCATTGAAGTAAAGAGACTGACAATTACAATCTATAGCATAAATGGGAGAAAAATCTTTGAATTTGCTCTGATGAGTGGTGGTTGGTGGGTCATATAGCTGTGTGCTACTCCGCAAAGATGATGAAGAGGAGAGTGAAGCGGTAATCTGCCCATAGACGATGAGTAACATTCCATCGTCCTATTTAAGGCTCTCTTAAATCTCTTTTAAATTGGTGGTGGGAATAATTTTTACATCTCCGTAATTGTGATTAAAATTAGGGAGGAAGAAGTAGTATTCATGGTGGATCTTGGTGCAACCCACTATTTCATATGTCTTGATACGGTGTTTCACCTAAAAAATTATGTCGGTGTGTCTTGGTTCAAAGGAAGGCGAATTAAGGGGGTGCCACTCCAACTTTAGGAGTTCAGTTTGTTTCAAATTTCTACCCCTTATGCTAGGTAACTTAATATTGAGAGTAGAATTGGCTGTCCAATACTCAGCAGTTGGAAGCTTCCGGCTTTGAAACTAATTCCAGGTTGGAGGGATTTTCGTAAACTTTCTTGGAGACCTAACTTAGGAAAAAATGAAAGTTCCATTATAAGCCATGTTGACGACTATTCAAAGAGAAAGGAGAGATTAAGATTGAGTTAGAATCAATTAAAGGTGGCACAACATTAGTAAGGGTACACGAGTGAATGGTGCCACCATATTTGCATACCACCTTGCAATAATTATTAGTGATCTTTTGTATGCCCATCAATTAGGGAAAGGAACATTCAATCACCCTATAAAGTTGAAAAAAATTTAAAAATAAAGGGGAAATGATCTTGCAAGCATGCGCTTTATCTAAACCTCCAATCCTGATGAGATTTAATGATTTCAGCTGGAATAATAGGGCCTTATTGTAGGCCATTTTCGAGCCTGATTCTCTTTAATAAAAAAGTATGTGTTATGGAGGCTATGTGTGCATTACAGAGGCCCTAAACAGATAGACAATGTTCGTAGTGATTGGTAAGCTTCTAGATTAACTCTACGGGTCTTGAATTTCTCTATGCTTGGTCTAAAGTCGGGATATCATCAAACAGTAGGGCTTTTTGGTTTTAGAGGGCCGCTTACTTTACAAAGGAAGGATCATGGTTCTAGGTAATTTTAAGATTACTTCAGCCCCCTTCTACAAGTGTTCATTACCCTCGTATTGGGGGCATTTTGGGAAGCTCAAAACTTAGCTTCTGTTTGTTATGGAATAGTACTGATTTGGGATGACCCAACTACCCCATTTTACATTATATTATATTGACTGGAAAAAAGGCCTAATAATTCTTGATCTGTCTCATGGCTCTCAATCTGCTATATAGATTAGGTTACAAGTACCTCTTTGTGTAGCACGGGACTGTGTATCTAGTGAAAGACTGTATCTTCATCCGTTCCTCATTCAGTGGAGTATCTAATTGCTATACGGCATCAAATTCTAAAATGTTAAAGTGTAGAGATTTGGTTTTCAACATGATTACGCACATCGACAGATTCGTTGATTGATGCACATTAAGCTTCCTGATTCGTAGTCTTCATGCCAAGTAAAGTTAGATATGGCGGTTTAATCCTATAATAAACGTTTGTGAAAATACTCTAATATCCTAATTTTGAGTTCTAGTGTAAAATGGCTGTGTGCTTCTTAATATATATATGTGAATGTATAGTTGGTTTATCCTCTCTTGTGTTTTTGCAGGACATTGAATTATCGAAGGAAATTAATGAGTCTTTTAAACAATCATCCCAAGCAAGGACAAAACTTCCATCAGGAATTGAGATGAGCGTACATGTCTTAACCACAGGGTAGGTTGTTATTCTAGTCTGGTTTTTGAATCCAAAAGGATTTAAGAGATTTTGTTATATAGGCTTCCTTGCTTGGTCCACTGGTAAATCTTCTTGTTGTTTTGCTGCAGTTATTGGCCAACGTACCCCCCGATGGATGTCCGGCTCCCACATGAGTTAAATGTATACCAGGTAAGTTACAAGTTGTGAAGCCAGAGGATATGTAAACGCACTGCCATACAGGGGTTTTGATTCTGGTTTGATGTGCAGGACATATTTAAAGAGTTTTACCTCAGTAAACACAGTGGTAGACGGCTAATGTGGCAAAATTCTCTGGGTCACTGTGTCCTGAAAGCAGACTTCCCAAAAGGTAAAAAGGAGCTTGCAGTTTCTTTGTTTCAGGTTCGTCTCCTATTACTTTTGATGTTTTATTGACTTTATTTTTTGTTATAGAAGCCCATTTAATTTGTTTTGACTCTTTAACTTGTGTATTGTGATATCTAGGCCGTAGTTTTGATGCTATTTAATGATGCTGAGAGTCTGAGCTTCCAAGATATGAAGGATGCCACTGGAATTGAGGATAAAGAGCTGCGGAGAACTCTCCAGTCCCTTGCATGTGGCAAAGTTCGTGTCCTTCAGAAGGTACTGACCAGCAATTAATTTATTCAAAACTTTCTTTGGATATTATATTTGAGATATTGTATTAAACACTTGTTATAAATTTGAAAATGCAGGTTCCTAAAGGCAGAGAAGTGGAGGATGACGACTCTTTTGTGTTCAATGACACATTTGCTGCCCCGCTCTATCGTATAAAGGTACCCGAGGTCTTATAATTATGAGTTTATACATGGACTACCATATATTACACAGTGAAGAAGATGACCATCGAACTGATTCTGTCAATTATTACATCAGATCATTTTCTTCCATCCCTAAATAATAATTAAATGTCTTGCAACATAGCATCATGCTTGCTAATGTGTAGCTTATATTAGTTTGGGCTTTGCATTTTCTCAGTCTTATTTGAGTTCGTAGAGGTTGACAGATTTTTGCATTGTAGTGGTACATGGAAAAATTGGGTGGGGAAGATGAGCAATTGTGGGGAGAGAGGTTGCTTGTGCTGCGAAGTTGCAATTATATTCCGAAGTTTGCACCTTGTAGTTTGGACTTTGATTTTTTGTTATTGCTTTGGAGAGTTTGAGAGTTTTTTGCATTATAGTGGTTCTTAGAAGAAGAATGGGAAGGGAAGACAGATTGTGTGTGTAAGCAGGGGGAGGGAGGGGGGAGCACTAAAAAACTCAAGAACAAACATAAACAAACTATTGACTAGGAAACTAAAATCCTACGTACATTATTATTTTAGTTTGTGGGAAAATAAGGTAGCATTGATGTGGGAAAATATATAAACAAATTTTCTAGGGGTATAAATGTCCACACACTATTCTTAAGAATTAAAAAAAAGATGCAATCAACATTAATGAGGGCAAATAAGTAAATAAACATTTTAGAGGCTTTAATTGTTCAAACACTATTCATAAGAGTTATCTCAAACTTTTCAAAAGGTAAGGAAACAATATTATCATTCACACTCTTCATTTTACCTCAAGTGCTCGATTAAGATCCCTCATACATGATTAGTACACTTCTACCCTTAATTTTGGCTAAATCATGACTGTTCATCACAAAATTAACCTAATCGAACAATTAGACACTCATACAAACTTTTTTTTTTTTTTGATTATTTTTCTTTTAAAATGACACCTTATGGCTGGAATCCTGGCCAAAAAGTCAATATTTTGGCTGTTGGCTTAAATTTCTTTTTGGTGTTTTTAACTCATACTGCATCTCACCTTATTCTCTCTCTCTCTATCTCTCTCTCTCTCTCCATGCCATAATAGCAAAGCTCTAAGATGAAAGATAATTATCATGGAGACTTTGAGATGCATTACATGTACAGTTTGGTATAATAAGTTTCCCTTTTTAAAAATTCCCTCTTTGTATTGGTAGGAAATGCGAAATCCAATTTCACAAACTTTACCTTATTTTTTTGAGTTAACCCAAAAGTTTCCTTGCAATAACACCGAATGAGTACTCCCTCCGTTTCATATTAACAGTTTGACTAGCACACATGCCAATGCACTACTTTTACTATAAATATTTGTAATTATATATTAGTATGAAGTATAAAAGTTTGATATAAAGAAAAACATACATAAAGACTAATCCAAAATTATTTTACATGGCAACATATGTTTTTTATATAATGGTTAAAATTAAACTTAGTCAAAGTAAGTATATGAGTGGTACAAAAACTGTTGCAATTATTACAAAATGGAGGTAGTACTACAAGTCTACAAAGTTTATGATGCTTTAATACTTGTTACCATAATACTGTATTTATTTTTTAGATAAGGTAATACAAAGTTTATGAAGATAGGCTTGGTAATCTTGATTTTAAAGGAAGGCTTTTTTCTCTTTAGCTTAGAAAATAATTTTCAGGAGATTTAAGCTCAAACAAGGCCCATAAGTTAAGATAAGGGCCAATTAGTTCAGATAAAGACTACAAGATAAATTTAAAACTAAAAATTATTGTTGATAAAAGCTTCTGAAATTCAGCCTGGAATAGATTAGATCATCTGGGGTTAATAGATTTAGATTAGGCTTTTCAGGTGACTAGAGCGAAGGCTTGGTATTGCTTTCATGAGGAGCTTTTCTTTGTTTGGTGTATCATGCGTCATGGGCATATTCCTTAATTCTATGTTGGTACCTTTTTACTTGGAGGCAAAATTGTTAATGGAGTAGTGATATATCCTATGGATTTGGGACTTGGGAATCGATCTAGTTGCCTTAATGTGAAAGCCTGTGATGCTCGGACTCAGCCGCCCACCCTTCCCAGTGTTTACACGACGCGGGTGCGGACACGAAATCCGGGTCGGACCCTTAGAAGAGAAAGTGAACTCGACAGTTTTGAACCCTAGCTTTGAAATAAAATGTCGGACTCACCAACACAAGAGCCGAAACCTTAGGGGTTTTTATTGGAAAGGAATTACGACCACCAAGAAGTTAGTTTTTTAATCTAGCAATGGGAGGCTGGGTTCTTCAATATTTCTCTATTTTCAACTGTGTCCATTTTAACTAGGTAGGGTAGGTGGAGGAAGAAACAATATTTTTTATGTGGGGAGGGGGTAGGTGGAGGACCTCATGTGATTCTCTTCACATTTATTTAAATCTGTTGTCAACATCAAATGAGAATTGGGAAAGACTTTCCTTTTATTTTTTCTACTTTATTTACTATCTGTCTTTACTACTTGACAACTTAAATTCTCTTTTATACACAATTAAACAATTTAACTACTAATTTTTAAGTTTGCTTTTACTCACTACCGAGTCCACGAGTCCATATCCAAAATTTGGTCTCTTAAAAAACATGTCCCCGTATCCTTAATTTTATAACTTTCCGAGTCCAACACTTAGACCCATACCCGAGTCCGACACCCGTACCCGAGTCTGAGCGTCTTAGGTGAAAGCAATAGAGGCCTTACACACAGATCTATTCTTGGAAGAAAATTGGAATGAGAATCTAATGTTAGGTTTAAGATGATGGCCATGCCCCAAAACTGGATTGATTTATTGGACTCAAGCCCATGTGCTTTTTGTTTGCTCTCTCTTTTTAAGAGCAGCTTATTTTCCTGATTATTACTATTCTTAAGATTACCTTTTTAATTTTTATCATTGAAATTGTTTTAAAGTGTCCATGTTACCAAATTACCAAAACACTACTTGCTTAATTTTGAATAATCTCTCTTTGAACAAAATATACATGGTTAATAGACTACCTAAAATTATCCTCTATTATTCCTTGAAGGTACAAATATATTAAGACTCAATTTAATGCAAATTTGGTTTGAAAAATATGACATGGTAAGATAGGAAGGATTTCAAGATTTTCAATTTGGCTGTTTTACTGGGTGTTTACTGTGCAGTTTTAGACTGTATGTTATGCCTATATATTAGAATTGTACACTGTTTCAGGCAGGGGATATAGGCCATAGTGTTGAAGATCCTTTGTCATGTGATCAATTTTATGTCTTTGTTCATCTTCCAAATGGGTAAGTTGTGAAATCTTGTTGATTGAAATCGTTGTCAAGGACTCAAAGACTCAATCACATATTTGAATATAAGGGGTTTGTCCAAATCGGTTGGCAGACTTGGCATCAGAGTTGTCTGTCATGGACAAAGATAGTTTTGAGTAAAGGGGCTACTTATAGAAGAACAGGGGTATGGTTGTTCTATCATGTATTCTTTGGGAAGTTTTCATCTCTAATGCTTTTCTTCTACATGATATGGTAGAATGGCTTTGTTACTTTTATATCCATTTTATGTATATTTGTAGTAATAACATTTTTGTTAACTCTATTAAACTAGTAGTTGCAGTAAGGTGGGCCTCCCTAAATTCTGTCTTAGCTGAATTAAATCTGGGTCATTCAGTTGTTCCTACAGTTTACAACTCCATGGGGTGCTCTTACCTATCCACTGTTTCCTAGAGTTTTTGGTGAAGTAGTGCTAGAAGTGCATTTTTGCATAGTTATTTGCTGTGTTATTGAGATAATTAGGTGTAGGAGATGGTTACAATGGCATCTTTAAGGAACTACTGTGAGGATGGGTGAGTATGAATGGAACCAAGTCATTTTAAATGTTGATTTGTTGTACTTAGTCAGTTAGTTGCTGTTGGACATCATTCTCTTGGAGTTGTCGCCACTTTGTTCCTTTCTAAGACTTTGACAGTGTTTTGAGGAGCACCTTTGATGGTTTGGCGATTATTTAAAGAATTTGGGCTAATATGCTGCAGAGTGTTGTAAAAAGAAATTCCATAGCATCATCTACAACACAGCTTCCCACGAATAAGATTTGGGAGATTCTTTTCATAAGTATGTTAATTGAATCTTGGGAAATTAACACAAAATCATCCCTTTATGAAGTTTGCTACTCTCAAATACTCTCAAAATCATACATGGAACCAAATTTGAGGGTGGATTTCTAAATGAAGATTCTGCTAAAGAAGTGGCTATATGTATAAGTGCTCCCGCTTTAAGGTGGTATTTGTTAAAAAAAAAAAATTTAAACATATTTTAATGCAGTTATCTGGCTTTTACTTAGGGGTTGGTTTTATTTATTTTTTAGCTATTAGTGGTTTATATAATGTAATCAGTTATCCCTTGATGCGTGTAGAAATACCCTATCTGTCTGATCTTGAGAGTGCCACTTTGTACATTGATTACTTTTTTTTTTTAGTGCAAACAGATCAAAGCATGTGCTTTCGATCACTGGGTATCCACTTCAAATTTGACTACATGGCAATTGAATAACCCAAGCATAAAAGTTTCTTCGTGTTGAACGCCCAGCTCCCTAACCTAATGCGGCACCGGGAATTCTGAAGCTTTTAACCTTTTTGGCAATTTGTGCAAAGACGGTGGTATCATGGATAATTATCAAGTGTTTAAATGTAGATCTTCCTTAGAGAGAATGTGTAAATGTGTGATATTGAAATAGGAAGTATTTAGATCGCCACCATGCCAAAGAGGTGGAGATGGCAGTGGACATGGGGCTAGATTGTTGAAGGTAACAACAATGGTGGGTGGGGGTGGTGATAACCACGAGTGAGAAAAAGAAAAAAATGAAGAAACTCAACCAAAAAAATGACCATCTTCAAAAATCACGTGCATGGCACGCGAGCACAAATACCTACCTGGTCCAATAATGTCAAATGCAGTTAAAGTTTGGCCCAACCAGTAATAAATACTCAGTTGCAGTTGCGCTGTTTATGGTAGACCAGCCGTATTTGAGACTGTTTATTTCAAATCTTCCTTCAAAATATGCTGCTTAATCTGATAAGATTTTATTAAACGGTGCAGGGAGCAATTGCCTGAAATCTAAGTACCCTCTTTCCCCTTTTCCTCTTTTATGCCGAAACCTGAGACTTCATCTTCTTGTCATGTGCCATGGATTGCTTCTTTGACAATAATTAATCATGAATGTTTGAATGATGCAGGTCAATGCAATCCAGATGAAGGAAACGGTGGAGGAGAACACGAGCACCACTGAGAGAGTATTTCAAGATCGTCAATATCAGGTTGCCTAGTATTCAACTCCCCTCTTTTTGTAATGCTTGCAAGTTGGCTCCAGGTTGTGATTTTCTTATATTAGATAGCTAATCAGTGTTTTACATTTTTGTAAATCTAAGGTTGATGCTGCTATAGTTCGTATCATGAAGACGAGGAAGGTGCTTAGTCATACTCTTCTGATAACTGAACTATTCCAACAGGTAAATTTTTTTACTTGATATTAGGGTGGGCTAGGGAGTAGCTGGGTACGGGAGTTCGTATACGTTTGTAGTTCTGTCATATTCAGTCTCAAGTATGAATTTTTTTACTGGATTGGGAACTGAATTTCTGTTAGTGGCTTCCAGTGTGATGTTGAATATTACATCCATCTCAAAGTGATGCAAATAATTTGTGATGGTTTTATCAAGGAAAATGATGCGAGTAATTCAGGATGGAAGGTGTACCTTCTGTGTTGCTTATCGTTTAGTTGCATTAAGCACAATGTGTCTTTGATGCTTGAAATGCTGCTTATTGTTTAGTTGCATTAACCACAATGTGTCTTTGATGCATGAAATGCTTCATATGTAGCTAAACGTTCTAAACGCATTGGACATGTTACTTAATTCTTGCATTTCTTTCTATGCTGTTTGAATTTACTGTGTTTTATTTGGTGAAACAGCTCAAGTTTCCCATTAAACCAGCTGATCTGAAGAAAAGGATTGAGAGCCTTATAGACAGAGAATACTTGGAGAGAGACAAGAATAATCCTCAAATATATAATTACTTGGCGTAACAGATCATTTTGAGTCGAACCTTCTACATGACACAGGGAAAACCTGCTACTGTCAGCTGAAGGTTTATTTGATAATGTACAGTAATTTGCACCCTTTTTTTTTTCTTCAACAATGTAGATGTAATATTTTTTTTTCCCCATATCTTGATAATTTTGCATTTAAAAAAATTCTCGAAACCAATAGCAATATGTTGTAAAATATCAGAGATTTAGTAATCAGTACTGAATAGCCTTTGGTCGCTCAAATCTCCACACTTGCCGTGTATTACCTCAACCATTTATAGAGTGACTCCGACCCCCATCCATCCCCCTCTCTTATGTAATCCTGTAAGGTGTAAGTGTTGGTGTTAGTGAGACTAGATGGCTGACTGGTTAATTTGTTCAATGATCAAACAACCTTATTTCAATTGGTACGGATATATACAAGTATTTACATCTATAAAGTATGTCATTTACTTCCTTCGTCACTAAATAAAATCACCATTTCTATTTGGAAAAAATCATAGAATGATTAATGTAGTGTATTATTGATACAAATTGAATAGAAAATATTAATAATGGGCTTAAAGAGAAGTTGATGAAGAGTGAATAAAAAAAAGTTGGTGGTCGAAATGAGAAATGATTCTTTTATTTGAAGAGAATAATTTTGAACAAAAGCCAAGGCTTTTTTAAATGTGAAATTAACGTTTCTCATAGTATGCTTGAGAATTTTGTGATCAAAATCATTCAATAGGACTTTTATGCTTGCCATTATCAATATCTTTGATCGTACTAAAGTAATCTTTTTTTTTTTTTTTTTTTTTTTTTTTTTTTTTTTTGTAAAAACAACTTAATAATATCAAACGGAAAGTGATAAATGAACCCTTATGTAAGAAGTTAAAAAAAAAAAAATAAAAAATAAAAAAAAATAAATAATAATAATAATAATAATAATAATAATAATAAAAAGGGATGCATATGATAAGCTAAAAATAAAAATGATAAGGATATGTATAGAAGTGAACATATGTATTGTAAATGGGAATGAAATTATTCTATCTTCATTTTGTTACTAAGGTTCTGATGTCTTTGCCTAATATTCACTAATTTTTAAGTTAACAAGTTTGATAAGTTTAGGGACATAAATACTAAGTTTAATCTAATTTTAAGTTGTAGAATAAAGGGTAAATAAAGAATAACCAAGTTAGCGGGTGATGACTTTACAGTTAATAAAGCCTAGCCAAATCAGCGGATGATGAATTTAAGGTTAATAAAGGCAGCTTAAATGAGAATACTATTTATGCAAGGGTTTGAGTATAAGTTTGTAACCATTTGATCATTCAACCAAGCAATACGTGGTCCACTTGGTAAGAATCTTACCTTACATAATTGAGGTTTAAGAATCCTACCGATAGTATGTGGAGAATCCTACTCAGCTTCTTTTTTTTTTTTTTTATCTTTCAAAGATTACTCTTAATTAAATTTTCTCTATTATTATGGAACATTCAAAGAGACAACAGAAAGAAATTATACGTAGTACAATCAATGGAGTAACCATAAACAAATACAGTACAAAAAAATAAAAACACAGAGCACAATAATAACATACTGTAATTCATATTTTGACATAGAAAAATCGTTGACACTATAAATTAAGAATTTTTACATTACAAAAAACCTTGCACAACGAACAAAATCACGCAAAAACAGCCCAATTCCATGATCCAAACCAAAAAAAGGAAAATTAATAAGAAACAGAAGATTCGATTTCATTAAGATCTGACAAAATAAATTGAGGAAGATAGCAGATCGAAATCAGACGGGCTTAGAAGGTGTTGAGGCGGAAGAATCAGCGTCGGGGTTGAGAGGAGCGCGGATGTTGTTGTTGACGTCGTCGTCATCGGGGTCGTAATCGGGGTTGAGGTTACGGTCAATGGCTTCGCGGCCTTTCTCGAGGCAAGGCTTGCAGGCCATCTCGACTGCAATCCAACCTAATGCTAGCCCTACCACTGCAATGATCGCCGTTGTGATTGCCCCCATTTTTGTTCTGAGGGCGGAGATTGTTGCTCGCCCACGTTTGTGGAAATGTGTCGACGAGTTTATGGATGTTGTTGATATTTTGGAATTGATTTTTGTGTCGTTATTATTAATAAAATTTGCGAGAAAGGACTGTTTATAGTAACTTGTTTGCGAGAAAGAACCTTATATAAAATAAGTGGCAAATTGGGACCTTATTTCAAAAAAAATTTATAAGATGGGACCTTTTGACGGAATCCGGCTATTGACCCTCGAAAACCACCTCCAACTCGCCGAAATCTCACCCCGACCCTCGAAAACCACCTCCACCACGCCGAAATCCCACACCGGCCCCTGAAAACCACCTCCACCACGCTGAAATCCCTCCCCGACCCAAAAAACCCCCTCCACCTTGCTGAAATTCCACCCCAACCCTCGAACCCAGCTCCCCCCCCCCACCACCCCAAATCCCCCAACTCGAACCCAGCCTTGAACACCCTCTAAAACTGACCCCCGAAACACCTCGAAACCCACTGCAAATGTCCCAAAATCTAGAAATCGGAGGTGGTATTTGAGTTTCGAGGGAGGACGGGGTTTTCTGGGTTTTAAGGGAGCATTTTCGCGATGGTTTTCTAGTATTTGATGGAGCGCGGTGGTTGGTTGGTTGGGTGGGGTGGGGCTTCTAGGTGGAGGAGTAACAGGGGAATAAGGGGAGGTTGGCAGGGATAGGGTGGGGTAATCGAGGAAGGCAAGGAGGGGATAGTGGTGGTCGTTCATGCCGGGGGGCGGTGCAGGGGTTGAGGAAGGGGTGGTTAGGCGGAGGTGGTTTTTTAAAATTAAACGTGGGTGACACTTGATAGTCATCGCCGGAAATTGTAGGTCAATGGTCGAATTCCATGACAAGGTCCCATGTCACAATTATGAAATAAAGTCCCATCTCGCAACTTTTTTTTGAAATATGGTCCCAATTTGCCACTTTTTTATATAAGGTCCTTACTCACAAACAAGTCACTATAAAAGGTCATTTCTCGCAAATTTTCCTTATTGTTATGTTACTAGTCTAAGGCCTGTGCATGACTAAAACTCAATTTATTATTAATCTAACAATATAATTATTATTTTATTGAAAAAATTGAGAAAAATAATTCGAACTTTCACCCATTCGCTTTTTTTATTCCCAACTATCAACTATTATTTAATAATCTTAACTTTTATATATCTTCGCTTTTTTGGATCAAGGTGACGGGTGACATGTTGGAATAGTCAAGGGAATTAATTTCCCTCCTAATCTTTGCTAACTTAACTCCACTCAACTACCCTCTTCTTTTCTCTCTCCCTGCCATTACTCCCCCCTACTTCAAATTTTTTCAACCATTTTTGTAATGAAGCTGACACCATCATTTGTAATTGTGGAAATTGGCAAGCTTTTTAGGGTAATTAGGAAGAATCTCTCAAGGGTAGAGGAGTTTCCATCAGACCCAGAGTACAAGTAACCCTAAAACTCTTCAATCATAATTCGTGGGGTGCTTAATTGTGTATTAAACCTTGCTTAACTAATGAATTACACATAATTGAACTTAATTAGTGACTTTAATTGGTTAACAATGACATAAAAACGTTGTCTTTTTTGGTTGATTAGTGTTAATTGTGCGTGTAGTGTATGTTGATTGTTGTGGTTGTTTTTTATTGAATTTGTGTGAAACGCTAGATTTGTATTTGTGGTTTAATTGGATTATGGTATATGAATGGTTGTTTCTGTTGTGTTTGAAACCCTAGGTTGGTTAAGATGAAAAATCCTTTTGTTGCTGTGACCTTGGAGTTTTGGCATGGTGGACAATTCAGGATTGTTGCAAATGGCCATTTAGTTTACGAGGGTGGGAAAGGTAGTACTAGAGAAATTAGCCCAGATGAAATCTGTTATTGGGATCTTATTCTATTGGCAAGAGAAGTTTCAAATGGTAAAACAGTTGAGGGAGTGTATTACCTGATTCTAGGACTTAGTATGGAGAATGGGCTTAGGAAGGTGCTTAATGATAAAGATACACTAGAATTAATTGCATTAGCTGATAAATATAGGTGTGTTGAGTTGTATGTTTTTCATGGGGCTGAGTCACCAAACCTTGAACCAAGTGTGGAAACACACTTTTAAACTTTAGTAATTGAAAATGAGTCCCCTGGCAGTGACTTACTTACCCAACAAACATCTACCAATAAATTACCCCTCAAAACAAAACTGAACAAGTTACCAACTAAAAGGGCCCCAGCTAAAAAAACATGTTTCCCCAGTGAGATTTAGTCCCAAAAAGAGACCTCTGTTAGTTGGAAAAGAAGCATCTTCCAGCTCATCCCACAAAAAAGATAACCCCACCTCAGCAGCTGACAAAGAGCATGTGAACCCTATTTCTTTTGCTAACCCTTCTCAAACCCACACACAACCCTTATCCAAACCCAGATCTTCTTCTACGTAACCCTCTGGTATTCTAGCTTCATCACAAAATGACCCTGGTGACACAGATACATTTGTTTGGGAAGATGATAGACCTGACAGTCCCATCCCTATAAATGATCTAATTCCCGATTATAGTGATGATAGTGATGATTCAGACCCACTTTATGAACCTGAAGATAGGAAAGGGAAGTTAGTAATAGATAAAGATGTTGATAGAGCTGCATATAGTGATAGTGAATTTGATGAGGCATTAGGGGATGAAGATGTGGGTGTTGAGGTGTTAGGTGATGAAGTGTTGGATGCTGGGTTTGAGGTCACAAATCTGCAATTAGACGGAGAGGAATATGAGCAGCTATTTAAATCAGGAGTTAGTGTTTGACTCTGATAATAGGGATGATGAGTATAACATAGCTAGGGAAAGAGTTCAGGTTCACAGCAGGCTCAACAATTGCAACTAAGTGCAACCTAGGGCCAGCTAGGCTCTCAAGAGCAAATTGTAGCAGATCAAGCAGTAGCTAGGACATCTGAACCAACCCCTTATCAGAGTGATTATGAAGATAGTTAGAGGAGAATGACACCCCACTTGGTAGTGGGGATGAGGGTGTGTTAGTTGGTAGGAGGGAAAGGAAATCTTTGTTAGTAAGTCCACAAACATATTTTTCACAATTCAAGTGGAAAATTGGACAGAAGTTTGCAAACAGGGAAAACTTTAAAAAAGCAGTTGCAAAATATGCTGTGTTTTAGGGCAGGAATATGGGATTTGTTAGCAGCAACAAAAAGAGACAACAAAGGCTATAGTTAGGTGCATACATGGATGCCTTTTTTATGTGTATGCATCCTGGGATACTAGGAGAGCAACACTAATGGTGAAAAGGGTGTGTGGTGATCATAGCTGCCATAGGAATATGAAAAGAAACATGCAACTTAAAGCAAGTTAGGTTGCAAAGTAATTTCTAGATGTGTTTAAAACAGGGCCTCACTGGCAATAGTGGACTGCATCAGGAAGGCTTACAAGATTTTGGTGAAAAGGGACTTTACTTACAAAGTCAAGTATGCTGCTCATAAGCTATTACATGGGTCAATGCATGACCATTATAATAAAGTTGGGGGGGGGGGGTATTAAGCAGTTGTGAAAGCATGTAGTCTTGGAACAGAGTGCATACTTGTCAGTGACACCTCAAAGAATCCACCAGTATTTTAGAGACTCTTTACATGCTTTGAGGGTTTGCAAAGAGGGTGGAAGGAGGGGTGGAGGAAGGTGTTGTGTGTTGATGCTTGCTTTCTGAAGACCTTCCTTGGTGGACTACTTTTATCTGTTGTTGGAAGAGATTTCAATGATTAGATGTATCCAGTGGCTTGGGCCATAATGGAGGGTGAGAATAATAGCTCCTAGGAGTGGTTTTTCACTGAAGTTCAGTCATGTTTGTAGCTTGTGACATACCATCATTTTTTATGTTCATTTGGTGAGCATCATTATATCTCCCTTAATTGAATTTTTAATGTTTATTATTGCTACAATTACATAGCCATAGCCATATTAGATTGGTTGAATATTTCTCTGTATTTGGTTGATGTTGCAGGTAATCTTACATGTTGTCTCCAGTGTCTTGGCAAATGCAGAGCATAGACACTGCGTGAGACATATCTTCACTAACTAGCAAAAAACTTACAGAGGAGAGGAGATGAAATTGATTTTCTAGAAGGTTGCCAAGGCTTACAACATGGTAGACTACACAGATAATCTCAAACAACTAACTGATCTGAACATTAAAGCAGCTGAGGCCTTCCAAGCATATAAGCTTAAGTTATTTTACAGGGCATCTTGAAGACATCAATCAAAACTGATGCTATCACCTCCAATATGGCAGAAACCTTCAACGGGAACATAATAAATGCCAAGACAAAACATCTCCTATACATGTTAGAGGAGATCAGAACTGCCCTTATGTAGAGATTAGTAAAGAAAAGACAAGAGATGGAAATCAGACAATGACAGAGCGGCGAGTGATAGATTGCCATTCCTCGAAAGAGGTGGCACTTCTTATTCACTAAACTAAAGGGAGTCCCCTGTGCTTTGTCCCAAGATTCAAGCAAAGCCGGACAAAGAGAAAGAAAAGGCATCAAATTGTAAAGTTATACCATCAACTGACAATCTTTTCAATGTGACTTACTTTTTAGATCATTTGGTAGTGGACTTGCAAGCAAGGTCCTGCACTTACAGGAAGTGGGAAATGGTGGGAATCCCTTGCTTTCACTCTATTACATGTATGTTCTTCCAAATTAGGGAAGCTGAAGATTTTGTGGACCCTTGCTATAGAAGAGATACATATCTAAAAGCATATGCAGGTTTAAATGCTTATTTTGTGGGATTGTTCATTGTGTAGCTTGTTTATGATTCATTTGAACTTGTATATTTACTGTATTTTCTTATGATGTAGGATCAATACTTGCAAGAGAGCCTCCAGCTAAAACGCCAAGGGGAAGGCCTGGAAAGAATGGCCAACCACCTCACTGAAATGCAGCCCCAACTTCTTCTGAGCCTTTACATGTTACTGCAATCACATCAACTGCTCCTCCTGCACATCATGTAGTAACTGCTCAGCCAACCCAATTAGGGAGAGGTGGAAGAAGTATTAGAGGAGGTAGGGGATTAACGGGGGGGTGGGGTGGGGGGTAGAACATCTACTGGTGGAGGAGGGACTACAAGACAAGGCAGAGGGAAGGTATTGCTGTCTCATCTTGCATTTTTCAGCACTTGGTTGTTTTCATTGGTTTTGTAAATGTTTTTTTCCTTTTTGTTTTTTTCTGCTACTATCTAATGCTTATATGGTTATGAATTTCAGTTGCCAAAGGGAGGTGGGGTTTTGTTTGAAGCAGATGGTTCAGTTGTGACAGCTACAAAGGGGTAGAGGCAGGCCAAGCCTCAACCCAGTTGCAGCAGCCTGTTGTTCTCATCCAGTCAAGCCAAGCACCTACTGTGCTTTAGCAAACTCAGTGACTATGTACAAGTGATTGGTGTTGTCAACTTAGGAATTGGAACAGAACTTTGACTTTCATTTTGTTTGATATTTTGAAGTTGTGTGTAACTTAGATAACATTTTAACTAATTGTGACAAGCAGCAATCTTTTGATGGATTTACTTTGAATTTCTCACTTGCATGTAACAAATTAACACACATTAAAGATTTCATTGCATAAAAGTACTTAAATTAACACAAATAGCTGCTTCATTTAACTCATCAATGCCACAAACTGACTTTTATGAAATAGATTACACTATACAATTGTCTGATCATAGTACTATAAAATCCTATTTTAAGTAAAAGATCACAACGCCAAATAAAACCCATGAAAATAGTTGTGCCATTGACATGTGCCTTTCATTTATAAAACTCATCATAATCTCAACCCTTAATTGATAAAGATCAGCCTTCATTTGCTTCACATCATCTTCCAACTTGTCCTTCTTCCTTACCAGTTTCTTCACCTTTTCCTCCAACGCATTACGCTCAAACTCCATCTCAGCCATTGTAGTATCCCTTTCAAAGATTTGAAATCGAAGCTCATCAACTTCATTGTTGCAATCAACCCATTTTAAAAAATTACAATTTGTGTTCAGTGGTAAAACCAAATCAATTATAACAAAATCAAAAACCTAATCTGCTATAATTCTTTAAACACAATACAAAACAATCAAACAATCTTACCGGCCATTTTGGACAACCGAAAAACTTCCTACCAACATTCAGCCCATTTTTCACACTTCGTACCACCGCATCAGAACTGCAAGTGCACTTTGTTCTCAGTCCACCACAACCCCTTGATGTTGAAGATGAACTAGCAGAGGCAAAAGACCGATCTCCTCCTGCCATAGTTGATTAAGGTTTAAAGAGAGAGAAAAGTGAATAAGTGGGATGAAGAGGAACAGGGGAAATAGCGAAGACAAGGGATATAAGGGTTTAATTGAAGAAATTTTAAAAAAAAAAATTAAAACAAAAATATATTATTCCAACGGTCAGTGACGCGTCAGACTAAGAACCAACTACAATAGGTTTGTTACCTATTAGGACCAAAAAAGTGAAGACATATAAAAGTTGGGATTATTAAATAATAATTGATAGTAGGGATTAAAAAAGCGAATGAGTGAAAGTTTGGATTATTTTTGGGAAAATTTGACTTTTGGTACCTCCAAAATGGTCTCTACTGACTTTTAGTACTCATCTAAAATTTTATTTTATTTTGGTACCTATCAAAGTTACAAAATATAGATTTTGGTACCACTTAACAAAATCCATTAGAATTCCGTTAAGTGGGGCCCATCATCTAATTAATTAATAATTTAATTTATTAAAAAAAATGGCGCCAACGAACTCAACCCCTTCCTTTCCCCGCATCGTCGTTCCGTTCTTTCCTCCCGTAGTCCCATATTTTCGAATCGCTCCTTCCCCCACCCCGAAACCCTTGGCCTATTGTTGGGCGGCAATGCTGGTTGCGGATGCGGCGAAGAGAATTATGGGGCTGCTGCGAATTGATGTTGTTGCTGGGCGGCGGTCAGATGGAGATGGAGGGTGGTTTCGGTGGTTGGGCGTGAGGCTAAGGTGGCCAGTTTTGCGGTGGCTTTGTGTGTTGGAGTGGGCTGCAGTTTGTGGCGAGGTGGAGTAGGTGGAGCTGCAGTGTTGCTGCAATTAAGGGGCCAGCGAGAGGTGGTTGTTGATGCGGCTGTGTGTTGCTGCAATTAAGGTGGTGTTGGGCTTCGTCCTGGTTGTTGCAACGGCTGGCCGCAGCTGCTGGGCTGCAGTGGCCTGGTTGCCGCAGTGGCTGAGCTGCAGTGGCCTGGTTGCCGCAACGGCTGGCCAACCTCTTGTTTTAAAAAAAAAAGTAAAACTAGGGTGGTTTTCGGGGTTGCCGACAGCCGGTACGGGGAGGGGGGCTGGCAGCGTAGTGGCTGAGGAGGAGGAAGGGGTGACCGGAAGGTGGCAGGATGATGGCTGGGCCCCACTAACAAAAACCGTAACAGAAGTTAGACGGAGGTACTAAAAGCTATACTATTAGAATTTGATAGGTACCAAAATTAAATAAAATTTTAGATGGGTACTAAAAGTTACCAGAGGCCATTTTCGAGGTACCAAACGTCAAATTCCATACCTATGAAACTACAAATGAGATCATTGCATAATAATTAAATAAAAATTACGTTAATACTATTATGATCAAATACATAAGACCCACCACTAATTATTTTCATCATAATACATTAATACATATCTTAAAATGAAGATCAGAATATAATCTGAATGAAAAGGGAAGATCAGATAGTGCTGTTGTTTAGTTGCCGTGACAATGGGTCAATGGTTATGGGTGGTCGCTGGAATGGGAGCGAGGAAGGAGCAGGTGCAACAATGGGTTGTGAATGCAAGGCTGCTAGATGTGTGGCTGTTATTTGCGCCGCTGCTACATGGATGTTGTTGTTGTAAGGGAATATTGGTTTGGTGCGTGGTTGCGCTTTGGTGGATGAGTGGGAGTTAGTGTGCTACTGCTAGTATTGTCGGTTTGTGGTAGGTGCCTGGCAAGTAGGGTGTGTGAGAATAGAATGATAGCAAGCAAGGGTTGATGGGGTTGTTTGATGTGGTGTTCTTTAATAGAGATTAGAGAGGTGGTGGTGGGGCAGCAAGTTAGGGGCTTGAATAACAGCAGGTTGTCTTGACCTCACCCAATTTGTCGAGTTTTAGCAAATTTTTAATTACTTGAAGCTCTTTATGGTTTAATAAGTTATTTAATTATTTTGACTAGTGAGTTTTAAATTAAATAATTTATCATAGTTTCTTACCACTTATCATAGGTTATCATATTTAGAGTATTAGTTTGCGATAAATTTTCTTATATACATAATTTGTAATAGTAGATTTGTCCCCTACGCTTCTAAAGCAACATATCACTTGTGTAAGGAAAAAAATAGGTGGGGTTAGGGTTTCCAGTGAGGATAGGGGGTGGCCAAAGGGTGGTTGGAATTTTGGTTTTTTTTTATTTTTTTTAGTTTTTTTTTTAATTTTTTTTTATGGTTATTATTTTTGTAAAATTTTGGACCAATTATGATTAAGTCATTGACCCGTCGTTGATCGGTTGGGACTGTTAGAGGCAAACTCATAGCAAAGTTGAGATTATTTGATAATAAATCTTAATTGGGATTATTAGAAGTAAATCGATAATAATTGAGATTATTAATGTGTATCTTTCCTACAAACTATGCCAAATAAGAGTGCAGCAAAAAAACAAGATCACCTTTACAGATTATTATTATTATTATTATTATTATTATTATTATTATTATTATTATTGTTATAGATTAAGAAAGGCATTGGGAAGACAACTCTATAGTACCAGGAGCTGAACGGGGTGCAAGAGTTCAGGGACTCGTCTCTGTTTCCGCCTCTATCTCTTTTCTTCCTCCTTACACTATTTCTACTTTAAATTACTCCACTGCTTCTCCCCTATTTGACTGCTTCATTTAGTTGAATATCCTTTTGGGATTTTGGACCATATATTAAGTTATTTTGTATTTGTGTTTTGTTTGAAATATTGGTGTTTGTTGGCCCAAGATATCCATGTCATCTGTTATGAAGCCCATATTAGAGATTGTGCACATGGCCTTTTTGAGGGCCGTGCCTACACTTGGTGACTTGGTGTATCTATTACCCTCTGTTTTTATTTGTCTCATTTTGATTTTGATACGTTTCACATGTACCACTTTGATTAATGTGTGTGCAGAATAAAATATAAAAATTGTGTATTTGTTAGAATCGTCTTAAAACATACTTCCTCCGTTCCTAATTAGATGACATGTTTCTTTTATCACATTTGTCAATGCACAATTTTAATGATTTATATCTCCCATTATCAACATTGTAAAATTGTAAAAAGTGAATATTAATAAAATATACATTAAGCGATTCAAACAAGATCCCACATTATTATATTTTATCGTAGCTACAAATCACAAAAGCTAGTCAAAGTGTTGTTTGTGAATAGTGCAAAAGTCAAACTGTGTCATCTAAAAAGGAACGGAGGAAGTAGTTTTCAAATGTCAATTTTTTATAATTTATACTTATTATGGACAATTAAACATATCATTAATCAAAGTTATGCATTGGCAAATGTGTCGGTCAAAGTGGAGCACTTAAATAAAAACAGAGGGAGTACTCTATAATTAGAGTTTTTTTTCCTCTTAAACTTCCTATAAGGCCATATTCACATCATCTGATTTTTGCTGAATTGAAATTATAATTATTTAACTGAAATAATTTTTACTATTTCTCAATTATATTTCTTACTTAAAATTATTGACTTTTACTGAACTGAAATTATTTTTACAGTACTAAACTTATTTTTACTGAAACTAAAATTAATTTTATTGAATATTATTTTTGTAAGGTAAAGTGAACATAGTCTAAATCTTACACTCCCTATAAATCTAACATTTCAAATTTAATTAAAAAAAATAATAGAGAATCATTTAACATAAAGTTTAATTAGTAAAAATAATTTAAGTGTAATAATAATATTAAATGAAATTATATTTAATGAAATAAAATTATTTTTAATCAACTGAGGCCTTTAAAAGTATTTTTACTGAACTAAAAATATTTTTAATGAATATTATTTTTTAAGGTGAAGTGAACAAGGCCTAATAGTTACTAGTGTTGGCCATAAATGTGAAATTTGTTATATACACCCGGGTGCACCGTACACCCAACTAACACAAGGTTGTTTTTTGCTCTTTATTTGATGATTAAATGAAAAACAATCATCAAAATGAAAACAAAATACTCTTGGCTAGGTGTACGATGCATATGGATGTATATAACAATCTCTCCCATAAAATGTCTTTTGGTGGTAGGGCTTACCTAATGGGCCTCGTGTGTGATGAGTGCAAATTCTTATCTACACACTTGTGCAACTAAACTAGCTGCAACATATATATATATATATATATATGAACATATAGTTTTTCAAAAACGAACATACGTTTTTTTATCCCTTCCTTATATTTAACTACAAACACTTAAATAGACATGGTCCACATTAATTGTTTATAGACCACTAATATTAAAGACATTATACTTGTTTTATTAATTAAAAAAATATCATTATATTAAAATAAAGGTTATTATGCTAAAATAAAAGTCATTGTGTTATTATAAAGGCTATAAGAGGTTGTATTTTTTTTAAATAAATTTTTTTACGATCAATATAAATAATAAAGGCCACTATATTAAAATTAAGGGTAATATGTTCAACATGACATCGTACTTCAAGTTCACAACAAGTCTAATAAGGGGCACTATGTTAGAAATAAGGTTACTATGTTAATCATTAGGTTTACTATGTTCAATTTAACATCAATTGCGCGCCTATGAATCTCAAGTCTATAATAATATTATTGTGAACCGGGTCTACGCAAGTTTTAGCCCTCTCCTCTTTCTTTTTTTTTTTTCTTTCTTTTCCTTATAAATTAATTTTCTTTTTTACCTTACTTTCCTTCAATCTCTTAATTAACTTTTTTTTGTCCTTTTACTTTTGATACTATCTAATTCTTCATCATCTTCGTCGCGATCGTTAATCTTGAGGTAATTAGTGATTTTTTATTTTTATTTTTATTTTTTTAAATATGTGAATGTTATAAAATTGTTGATTTCTATTAATTTTTCATTTGTGATTTCTAAGCTATCATGTTATAGATCGAATATTATTGTCTCTATGATGAACCAAGATTAGATTTATGGTGAGTATTTTTTAGAGTTAAAATAATTACATGAACTTGTGTATAATTTCTGTAAAACAAAAAAAAAAAAAAAAAAAAAGAGCACGTAGTACTTTAAAATTGAACATTTGTACAAAATGAACATTTAGTACGCTAAAATACTTAGTACACTAAAAATGAACATTTAGTACATAAAAAATGAACGTCTTTAACAATCTATTTTTTCTTTATTTTTCGTTAATAATTATATACAATGAATTTGAACCTATATGAACATAAGAAAATCATGTTCATTTTTAATACTCCCTCCGTTAATTTTTATTTGCAACTTTGGGGCAAATTGCGGTTCACGAGGCAAAAGTTAAGGGGCAATTATTAGTGGGGTTAATTGAATGTGATTAAAGTGTTTGGAGAGAGAAAGGTTTGGCCCACCACTAAGAAAAGTAGTGGGAAAACATGTACAACTTTTGGAGGGATTGTATTTCCCCCCAAAATTTCAGCGAAATTTTGGTTTAGGCTGAAATTTGGAGAAATTTCATTTCCCACCAAAATTTTCCAAAATTTTAAACTACAAAACAGTGTACTGTTTAAATTGTGCAGACTTATATAAGCACTGCATTTCATATTACAGAGGCAATTAAATACAGCCTCTCCATTCAAACAGCATTTAACGGTTTCTTGTTCACCCAAAACATAAACATTGTTCATCCAAAAGATAATCTACCTTACAAATTACACGACGTTAGCCCATTATATACCAAAAAATTTCCTACAATTAAGTTAATACTACCCAACTAATACCCAAACACCTTCATAGGCAGCTGCAACTCCTTCTTCCTTCATCTTGTTCCCAAAAACACAGCAGCCACCGTTACATCAATCAGTTGAAGCTAAGGAAACAAACAAGGTTAGACAACCATGGTAGACTCATTTGAAGCGACGTACTTTGATGTGGATCAAATTTTGACAGAAGAAGAAGAGGCAGAATTGTACTACGAATACGCAGAAACTATGCAAGATCTAGGCATGGATTACTACGACTCTGAAGATGATATGATGCAAGACACAGAAGGAGAAGACCAAGGCCAGCAAAACACTGAACACACACAAGCTGAGGCTGGTTTCCAGGAAATGGAACAAGCCATTCACCAGGGGACTCAACAGAGACAAAGAAAGCAGCTCACCATGAAACAAAGAAGACAAATTGTGGATTCAATGTTGGTCAACATGCAGCAAGGGAACTTACCAAGAGGTCACTTAAAGCATTTGGCAGTTAATTACAATGTGCACAAATCAAGCATCACAAGAATTTTTGTAGACATAAAGAAACAAATGGCACAGGGCAGTTTGATTGATGTCAGGAGCAAAAAAATTGGCAGAGTAGGCAGAAAGCCAAAGGAATTTTCTGATGAATTCCTACAATCAATGCCTTTACATTTAAGGTAGACAGAAAGGAGCTATGCAGCAGCATTAAAGATCTTCCATGTGACACTTCACAATTTGAAGAAAAAGGGAAGGTTAAGAACACACACAAGTACCAACAAGCCATCACTGACATCAGACCACACGGTAGCAAGAATGAAATGGATTTTGTCACACATAAATCCAGTTACAAGTAATGGGGACCCAACATTTGTTGAAATGAACAATGTGATACACATGGATGAGAAATGGTTCTATCTGAACCCTGACAAGAGGAGGTTTTACCTCCTACCTAGTGAGGAAGATCCTTATAGGCCTATACATTCCACAAGTTTCAAGCTTAAAGCAATGTTTATGGGCTTAATTGGGAAGCCATTGTATGACACAGATGGGGGACTACTTCATGATGGGAAATATGGAATGTTCCCATTCACAGTCAAACAACTAGCCAAGAAGTCAAGTAAAAACAGAGTAGCAGGAACATGGGAAACAAAAGCAATACAGAATGTAAACAGAGAGGTCATCAAAGACATGTTGGTGGCTAATGTCATTCCAGCAATTATTTCAAAGTGGCCTGACAGTCAGCCAAAACATATTGTAATCCAATGGGACAATGCAAGGCCTCACCAAGTTCCTACTGATGCAGAGTTTATGGCAGCAACAACAGCTCATGGATTTAACATTCAATTTGTTTTCCAACCACCACAATCACCAGATTTGAATGTGCTTGACTTAGGGTTGTTTAGGTCAATTTAATCATTGCAATATCAGTCTTTTCCTAACAACCTAGATGAGTTAGTTACAAAAGTGCAAGAATCTTATGAGGCATTCAATCCTCAAGTCAACAAGTACATTTGGTTGTCTTTGCAAAAGTGCATGATTGAGATCCTTAAGGTACAAGGTGGGAATAAGTACAAAATACCCCACATGAACAAGAAAAAACTCGAAAACCTTGGAGAGTTGCCAAATCATGTACCAGTGCAGAAGGAACTTGTTTTGGAAGCAGTGGAGTACCTAGACACTATGTTTAGGCCAGTAGATGAGGGGACTGAACAAGGAACAGAAGAATTTAAGGTAGATGCAGACTGAGGGACTCATCACATCAAAGTAGAGACACATGGACTGCCACACATAACCACTTACAGTTGGTATGGTAATTTTGTTTTATATTCTGTTTTTTATTCTGGTATTAGGTGGTTAGGTGTATTTTGTTGATTACAGTGATGAATCATGTTAGGCAGTCTAATGTAAAGTACTTTTGTAACCACATGTTCAATGGAATAGAAATGGTTAAGAGTCTGATGTTAAGTGGGCACTCAATCCATCAAAAGTTTTTTTTTTCCATGTTTCAATAAAACACCAACCACAAGGTTACCTCAACAATAACAGCATAAAGCACATCATTGGAGCAAAACACTTGTGGGTTGGGAAGGTCAATAGAGTCCCTTCCTCATTTGGATTTGGACAGAGTACACAACACAGACACTTAGGGGACTGAATACAAGTCATTCTACCACATAAAGGACTGTCGTGTGTTCTCTACTTAATTGATCATTGAGAACACTTCAAGGTATGACCAAGGCACCTTTAAAAAATGTACAGACACATTAGCCTCATCATTCATCAATCAAACACCCATATGCCATATTCCAACAATCCAACAGTTGCTAAAATATACTCCAACACATGCATACATGCAACATAGTCCAAAACAGCAGACATAGCCAAGCATCCAACTGACCAGCCAATAACAAACAGGCTATCTAGCCAACAAATTCCGGAACAGCAAACATGACAAAAGAGCAGGCAATCAAAAACAGGCAACCATCCAACATCAATCCAGATCTACGCAAACAAAACCAACTAAGCCAACATGCATCCAGAGGCGATCAAAAACAGTAATTCAGGACTTCCTCACACGCGTAAAAGTCACGAGGAAAAGGAGATCCTTCGGCGATACCTGTCATCAGGGATTTTATCAAGTTTTCCTCGCCCCGGTCATCGGTGGCAATATAAGCATCGCGAAGTGGAGATAGGTTAACCATGGTGGTGGGGGACTCTTTTTTTTGGAAGTTGAGAGGACGAAAACTCAGATTTCAGGAGGAACAATGGAGAAAATTACAGAGGCGAAGGAGAGTGAAAGTCGAAGAACCAGATCTAGGGTTCTTAAGAAGAATCGAGAAGCCAGAAATAATCCCATGATTTTTTCAATTAAATGTTGGTGGTTGGGAATGTGGCTGATGGGATTGGATTGGGGGAAATAAATGGAGGGAGTAATTAGATTAGGTTAATTTAGATGTTTTGTATATAATGTGGGATCAGGGTTAATAAGGGGTAGAATTAAAAAAATCAAAAAAATTAAGTAAGGGTAAAATAGTAATTTTTAGGGTTTTTGTTTACCAAAAATGGAAATAAATTAGAAAGTTGCAAATAATTTTTAGCGGACTAAAATGGCAAAAGTTGCAAATAAAAATTAACGGAGGGAGTATACTAAATTTTCGTTTGTTTTTTTTACGTGTTCATTTTTTTTACGTATTTATTTTTGTATACTAAATGTTCATTTTAGTTAATTTGTTCGTACATAAGATACATATATAAAATCTTAATTTTATTAGGTATGATCTAGCTTTCTATGAAAAATAGCAGCACCAATAAGCACTACTCGGGGCAAGTCCAACTAGTTATTTCTAAAGGACGGTGGAATGTTGTAAGAACTTTTTACCCGCCATAGCCAAATAATATGCAGATTTTGTATCTTATTTTTCTTAAAATAAAATTAGTTAATTAACAAATAAAATTTGGATATTACTCTTAATATGTATCCAAGAGGTTTAATTGTACCAAGTATACCATACCATTATGTATATTATATGAATGCGTAAAATAATTAAATAAATAAATCGATTATAAAATATAAAAAGAAAGTGAATCATATGAATATAATGAACATAAGAAAAACGTACGAGTTTATTGTTGAAGGTTATGGTACTACAATAGCAGCCTGGCCTCAAAACATCACCATTAGAAAAATGTTGTCTTATTATGTAGGGTTAAGATAAGTTATTTATTATTCACAGAACAACAACAGGCACGATAATCATTGGAACATTGGCAACCCCCATTGCAAGCAGTGGCGGACCCAGGAATTTTCGACTGATGAGTCACAATCGATAACCAAATATGTAAAAAAAAAATTTGACAACATGACAAGCTTAGCTCTCTAATAATTGACAAGATTAAAATTTGTACAAGCATTAGGGTGTATTCACAATTTGACAGACATAATTGACTATATCATTAGGGTGGGTCGACTATATCATAAGCAATCGTCCGAATCGCCAATCAAATCAGCACATATGCAAAACCCCATATAAATCTACCAAAGTCAATGGTGTATTGACAATTTGACAGACATAATTAACATCAATAAACACCCTAAATAAACACTGATTACAATTCACATGGTCAAAAAGGTTCAAATTTCATCAAAAACCCAACAACATTAACAAAAGGTTCAAAGTTTACCAAACAAACAACAACAAAATCAACCAAAGAAAATAATTTTTTTTTTTTTTTTTTAAAATAAACTTAGAAATTTTTTTTTGTGCCCTGGTGAGTCATTTGACTCACCATGCACAAGGGCAGGTCCGCCAATAATTGCAAGCATCATCAGTACACGGGGTTGCTGGTTCACAATGCCCCAGGGGAGAAACTCTAGAACTACCGACCCCTTTTTTTCCGACCATAGTAGCTCCATTCTAATGCTACTAGCACTTTCTATAAAACAACAAATTACAAGGATTTAAAGAATGTTAATTAATTATAATAAATAACCATTAATTTGTCAAACTTTTTCGAACTCTAGTAAGATTTGTCACATTACTCCTATATAGAGTACCTAATAAAAAAAACAAATTCTCAATATTACCCTTTCATTTTGACAAAATATATAATAAAAAAAGAAATATGGGAATAATCTTGTCTAATGTGCAAAAACGTTTCGTACTTTTATTTTTCATGAATTTTTAATTCATAAAGCCATAAAGCTAAATGATTATTCATGAATTTTTAATTCATAAAGCCATAAAGCTAAATGATTAATTGTACTATATTTAACAAAGCAAAATTAATGCACATAAACCACATTCTTATACACCCAAACAATTCACATACGAGTCGAAATAAAAAAAATAAAAAAATAAATAAAAATAAAAAAAAATAAAAAAAGATTGGTTGCACTCACCTGGAGACATACAAAACAACAATAGGACTAGAAGCAAAGAAAAAATTGTAGTCTTTTCCATATTAAAAATTGTAAGCCTTTTTGTTTAAGAATAAATAAATAGAGAATTAAGAGTTTAAGATGTAAAAGAAAGACATTAGTTTATTAGCTACTGATACTAAAACTTTGTTCTCTTATGGAAGATAATATCAAAGATCCTCCTGATATCAAAAATCGTCTTTGATATAAACAACTACCTAAATATCTTTACACAAATTTCAATAAATATTATTGATTTGAGACATTTTTACAATTAATTATTTATTAAATTATTGTTACAAAATAAAAAAAAATTAAAAAAAAATTATTTATTAAATTATTATTACAAAAGAACAATATACAAGGGGAGAAAAGTAAAATCTTTGACATTTAAATTGCATTGTCAATCAATCCATATATTCTACATTTAAATTGTCACTCAATCCATATATTCTACATATATTCTCTTTATCCTAACAATTTCATAATCTCTATGTCTCTAAATTAGTGGCCTATTTCTCTTTATTATGTGAGAAATAAAAATTAGAAATAGGCTACTAATTTAGGAACGGAGGGAGTATTTTTTTTATTTTTTTTTATCACTGATCAAATTCTTTATTTTTATTAATGACTTTATTTTTGCATTAATAAACCAAAAAGGCGTATGTGATGTGCTGAAGTCCACGTATTACTAAAACTTTTGTTTTAAAAAAAACATAAATTTTCTATTAGTCATTAATGATGAAATGATAGAATTATTTATCATTAATTAGGGTACATTTAAAAGAATTTTTTTCCTTTTTTTTTAATACCATACTTTATAATTTCTTAATGTTGATTTACCATTGCTATAAGAATTATGTATGTGATATATGTAATCTCTTCATTTCAAAAAAAAGTTAAAAAAGCATAATCTCTTATTTAAAAACTTGGGATATGCTTAGCACTAGCCTTTTTATGCACGTGATACATTCGTAAATATATGATCAAGAGAACAATTTTATTGACAATAGCATAAACTGGCACGTACTAAATGTATTTTTTTTTTAACATGTTCATTTTGTAGTACTAAATGTTTATTTTTTTATCACTGAATGTTTATTTTTTATTTTTACTTGTTCATATTTTTCTTACTACATATTCATTTTATAGGGTGTGGTGTAGTTATCCTAGCTGCACCCTTGCTAAGACTTATTGTGTCATGAGTGGCACAAAAGGCTTAATTGTGCTTCTAGCTTAATGAAATACGGCATAACTCAGTTTGACCCATACAAATTATGCTTCATTGGCTATATTCTTAGGCTCGATTGAAAGACAATTGGACACCCAAACATATGTAATCTTTTATATTTGATGTAATGAGATATAAAGACAATACAAATTAAGAAAGTTTGAATTTATGACGTTTAATTTTATTTTATTTTATTTTATTTTTTTTTTTTTTTTGAAACCATGACCTTTTCTTATACATAGATTATAACATTAAAAGTGATTGTGTATTATATGCTCCGTAATATTGATATCAAATGGGGTACATATAACAAGAATAAGAGGCCAAATTTGTCCCAAATGTAGTCGAAAGTCTAGAAACTTGTAGATACAATTCCTGCAACCTAGAAATGTTATCATAATTAAAAATTTGAATTGATTGATTATGTTATATGAGCTGATTATATTAAATCTTTTACGAGTTTATCCGTTCCCCTCCACTTAAAGATATTGTGGTCCACCATGACTAATGACAAACATTCCATCAGACGCAATATTTAGGCATATGGTAAACGAACCACTCAAAACGAATGAGGAAAAACATTTGTATATACCTCAATCTTAAATAAGATTTAGCCGCATAGGGCCACAAACAACTTTCGTCGGCTCAATTTTGAATGTAGACCTCCCGCATGTTAATATGCTAAAGAAGGAGGTCGCCCCTTTAATTGTGTATTTAGTGAAGTGAGTGACTTGCACATTACATCAACTAGCTAGGTTAGTTTAGACACCTGATTGTGTCTCCCCAAAAATCATACTCAGTGATAAGTACCTTTTACGTCTTTGATTAACGAGTTAGGTGAAAAGTTGAAGAGCCTCGTGAATTCCCTTAAGCCTTGACCATTTTTAACCTTTACTTGAATGTTTTAAGCCAAAATCATGCATTTCTTGTCTTTGAAAATTATTCATTCCGTGTTGTCTTTATAAAAGCGTCCAAATCAGTATATTTTGGTCCAAAATGTGGGTCCAATAATTGTGTACTTGGATGGGGTTTGAAAAGAGCTTTCCAACGATATATTATAATCCCAAATCCGAGTTATAACGAAGAAGTTATGGCCAAAATACCAAACCGAACCTTACTTACGACCCAATGACCACGTGGAGGGTCCATTAACCTTAACCTCATTCCTAAACCAATTAGGATTTATTACAAGCCTCTAGAATCCTCTAGAAGGTTGTTTTCAATCCTAAATCTATTAGGATTTATTATTAGCTTCTAGAATCTTTTAGAAAGTTCTAATTTATCCTGTTTTTGAAAAGATAACGACTTAGAATTTTATATCGGATAAAACACTTGTTTTTCGAAGATTTTAATTCTAATAAAATTAGAATACGTACGGAAATTCGACTAACCCAAGTTAATTGGAAGTCGGATTCTGTATGGATTCTATCTTCCAAAAAGTATCGCTAAGCGATAGAAATATCGCGCAGCGATGAGAACTGTTTTATTCCGAGTCCGATTGTGACTCTTTTCCTCTTTTTTCCTATAAATAGAGGTCGTTTTCCTCCGTTTTCACACTAGGCGAAAATTGCTAATCAGCACCGGTTCAAAACCCCCATTTCGCACCGGTTTTGAACCGGTTCTGATTTGAGGGATGCTGAATCCCGAGACTTTTCGCACCGGTTCTTGATGTGAACTGGTGCGAAAAAGTCCCCAAAAATATTAAAAAAACACTTTTAGCACCGGTTCTTCCTGTGAACCGGTGCCTAAAGTGGCCCAAAAAAATTTTAAAAAAAACTTGTAGCACCTTGCTGTGAACCGGTGCCTAAAGTGGCCCAAAAAAATTTTAAAAAAAACTTTTAGCACTGGTTCTGTTTCAAAACCGGTGCTAAAAATGCCCCAAAAAAATAAAAAATAATTTATTTTATTTTATTTTTTTGCATTTTTTTCACTTAAATTGATATATAAACACTAACATATATATAAAGTTACATATTTTCATTAAAATAGGCTGTAATATTACAATTTTCGTCTAATAAAATAAAATCATAGTTTGTCTCATTACTAAAATCACCCACAGCTACCAAGAAATCCAATCATTTCCAACTCTTCTAAAACTGACATCAAAGTTCAGACTACATCCTTAAAACAGTCACAGGCTCATAGCAACAGAATGAGAATAATACCTTTTGAAAATGTTTTGATATTCAAGGGAGTGTTACATACATATATAGTTACAGATCATATGGAGCTTGTTTCATCTATTCTACATAGTTAAAAAAAATTCAAGATGGTACCTTCTTACACTTCTTGGCAAGCCTGGTTGGCATCGCAGACCTCTCTCAGTCTCTCTTTTATTTATTGTTTCATTGTTATCGCTGTAGTTGCCACCCATGCTTGTTGCAGGCTTGCCTTGGGCTTGAGGTGCGACTTTTATATAGAATTCTAGCCTCCATAATGTGGATTCACTCTATATGTCAATGGAAAAACATTCCTAAAATGATATGACAAGAAGCTAGCCTGTGGGGCAGACAATATATCCAGAAAAAGACTACTTGAGCATCTATAGCGAGGTCCACCTCCTCAGCGCATTTAATACAAAACCAGGATTGCTCAGGACAACAATCTCTAGTGCCCCACTGAGATCATCAGTGGATAGCCTTGTGACTTGTGAGCGCTATGCCAACCTGCCTTTCCTCTTCTGCTGACATTTTCCTGAAATTTGATGATTCAAATTCAGATTAAAAAATGCAGAGAGCAAATAGAACAATGTTCAACCAAAAAACTTCAGTAACGCAAACCACTTTGCTCTGGTGAAAGCTTAATTTACAGTCAGTTTCAGCTAGTAAGCAATAAGAAAGCAACGAAAAACATTAGACACAAAAAGAGATAATTATATTGATGTTCAAAGAGAGAGTTCAGGTTGTATCCTGAATGAGAAATTTTCTAACCATAAAAGATCTGGGAGACATGTCATATTCATAACTTGAATATCATGAGTCATTTTGCATTTTGACATTAGAAACAGCATGGACATCCTCTGGAACACAGACACCTCTTTGAGGGATAATTATAAGGTCATTTGCTTTAAGCGTTGCTTACATGGGTTAGGAGCAAAAAAGAATTCAGGCTTCTTACATGAAATATCTCTAGTCTGTTCAGTTTGAAAGTATTTTTGGTATCAAATTAGAAGTAGTTTGCAGGTGGTTTCAGAAGTATTTCTGTTACACTGTCATAGTTAAAAAAAAAAAAAAAATAAAAAAAAAAAAAAATAAAAAATAAAAAAAAAAACTTAACCTTAGTGATCTTATGCAGCATGTTTGACATGCAAGCTGATTGGATAATTGCTAAAGATATTCTAAAAATTCTAGGCTTTCAATGAAACAGTCCAATCACTCCGAAAAAATGGAACAAACCTCATTGCTTACCCCAAGTCATTTTGGCATAAGTAGACTCTTGAGCAACTGCATGCTTAACTGTACATCAACTTCCTCTTCTTATCGTCTATTATCCTGCAACAACAACCTGCCTTTTTTTTTAAAACGAGAAAGAATGATAAAATACGACAAAACTTACATAACAAACAGCAAACTGTGCTCACAAAAAGAATGGTCTTATTGATCACTGGTATCTCACCTTTTCCACAACTCAGGCAAAAACTGTAGCCACTTTTCTTCGAACTTTGCCAACAAGGTTCTTGCCATGACATGTAGATCATTCTTTTCATTAGTATATTTCATCGCATTCTTGAAAATCAACCTCACATCTGCACAGATCTCCCATACATGTTTATATCCACTATCATCCTTAGCTTCCATCTGTTTCTTTATTGTACAGAAATACATTGGGATTTCAATAATCTGGTAGCAACAGAAAACTTGAGGTAGATAATACCAGCAGCCAAATAATGTAAAAGGCACAAAAAAAGATTATTGACAAACAAATCAACCAGTCATTTTGTTCTTTACACAGAAGAATCCTGCAGCAGAATGAACATAGCTTATTTTATTTCATACGTCTCCAAATTCACCACATCCCCTCCCAATGACCGGAAGCATATAGAAGTAAAGGAGCCCTCAAAAGTCTTCAACCTGCCAGACCCTAGGTGCCCATAGCATGGCAGAAAAAAAAAACAATGGAGATTTGAATCATACATAAATTTCAAAGTGGTAATTTAACTCAGATTTCAGGCTAGCTACTTTACATGGTAACATTATGACTTGAAAATAGGTGTACTATCCACCATGGCAGTCCAAACATTAGGTTTTGAGGTTTAGCCCCTTCATCGGCTTAGAACCGATCTTCCATGTTTGCAGCTTAAAAGGGCATAAGGGCATTATTTCTCCCCAACCTGGATTAATCTAAATTGCTAAACTCAAGATCTGCGAACTGTATGATCAAGGAAAAACCAGAAGATGGACCAATGTGGAAAATTCAAGGGGTTAGAGCAACTTCAATCAAGTAGTATAAGCCAATCAGTTTCAAGGCACTATACCAGATCACTTCAAGAGGGAATGCAAGGTTTTCTAAGAAGATGAGGAAAAAGGAAGTACTCCTTCCACCTTAGGTATCTTCATTATAAACTTAAAACTTAGGTATAAGCATTTTATGGGTATTAAAATTATGAAATAGTCATATTTGAAGCAAAGTTAGAAAACTCATTTTCGGGATTTTATAAACTTAATAGTGGGAAAATTCCCTTTCCCTTTTAAAAAGCCAATTCCGTTCAATAATTGTGAAAATTTGAACTCCCTCCCTTCCCTCACCTCTAGTCTTGACAGAGTACCAAAAATATATATGGGTTCAGTAAAACGGTATTCCAAATTTAATCATACAATCAAGAGAAATCAAGTTGCAAAGACATAGCCTCTTAAACCAAAGCCTTTAAAAATCAATTCTTGTTCTACCCTTCTAGGTAAATAATGCATCTCAAAAGTAGATTCTCAAAAGTTCTTCTAAGTTCAAGAACCACAGTCATCTCACAACAAACCAATAGCAAGGGCAGGCCGGAAACATGCTCACAGTATTAGCAAAACTACTAATAGAAATCAAGCATGCATGTCACCTAAAAAACTTCCAACCTCTTAATCTCAAAATCAATAACTTATATTGCAATTGTGGTATCCACTATCCAGCCCTTTTAAATATATAGACTACAACTCTTCTTACTAAATTTCAGCACAATAATGCACAATTACAGCATCAATAAACATACTGTAACACCATTTTCCATGATATGTTGGTACTACATATTACAAAAATCCCTAAACCATGCAAGTTGAAGTTTACAGAACCAAGCTCCAAATTATTCAGCAAAATATCTTATCAAACATAAAATCTGCTCACCAAATTCATGAATGCAGAAAGATGGCAAGGAAATCAATCAGTACCACAAAAAGCACTTGATAAATTTGAGCTTAGATAATACTTTGTACGGTATATATAATTAGGGTCAGATTATCATGAAAATGCAGAAAAATTATCAAGAGACATCCTTTACCTCATCATCATCAAACTCATCACCATACCCAACCTTCGCATCGCCACAATACCCAGGTTAAATCCCATACCCAGGTTCGCTCCACTGCACATCAGTAATTTGAAAGCTCAGAAACACAGATCTACATAATTTCAAGAAATACTGACAATTAAATGTTGTCAAAATTCAGTGATTTGCGGTGCTGCATGTAATTGAGAAAGGAACATTTTCTATGGAGTAATATTGAATTAAAATAGAAAATCAGAAAACCCTTGGGTTCCGAAAACATGAAATTGTAAATTTGAGCAAAACAAATGCTCAAAAACCACAAAATAATGAAATTATTTAAAGAGAAAAGAAGAAAAAAGCATGATCCTTCAGGAAAAATCATTTCGGGAGGGGGAAACGACGAGAGGTGGGTTTGTACCAGCTCCTTGCGCCACTGCCGCCGTTGTTAGGACCGACCGACGCGCTGACAACATGAAAGAGGAAGAAGAGAAAGAAGATAAGGAAGGAGCAGGAGGTCGTTGATTAGGGTTTGTTTGAGGAGAGAGATAAAAGGGCGCTGAGGAAACAGAAAGAAAGAAGAGGGGAATGAATGAGAAAGAAGGCTCAATGGCATTTTTTTTTATTACAATTCGCACCGGTTTGGTTTGAACCGGTGCGATTACTCTTTCCCCCCTTTTTTTTTTTTTTTTTTTTTGTAATTCGCACCGGTTTGAACTGGTGCTAATAACATCATTTCGCACCGGTTTGGTTAGAACCGGTGCGAATTCCCCTTTCCCTCAATCCCGCCTCCGGTTTTTAAAAACCGGTGCGCATTTTGCGATGCTCATTTCTGTTTTTCTACTAGTGTCAGTCACCAACAATCATCATCTAATCTCCTATCTCTAAAGCTTATTCCTCTCTCTCCCTCTCTCTTTTTGATTTCTAGTCTAGCCTAAACACATCCCAAACACACATCCTTGATACTTTTCCAATCAAACACCATACCTCCTTCACGAGCCTTGAATACTCCTAGCCAATCTCGTAGTTGCCTACGGCCTCGACGTGAAAGGTTGATAGTTCTGAGGGTTTGGTCCTAAATCCATATTTCAATTCATATTTGATTTATTTGTTTAATTTAATCTTTTTTGAAGTTTACTAACGTGTGTATTGTTTTGATAGAAAGAGGTATGAGGCATCAAAGTGAGTAATCCGATTGTTTAATTATTCTTTTGATATAGAAATCATGCTTAGAATATTATTTTAATTCCTAATAACATGTTAGGATGCTTTTATGATTTCTAATATCATGTTAGGATGTTGGTTATGCTTTCTAATATCATGTTCCTAGTATCATGTTTAGGTTAAAACTTTGATCATTATTATTAGTGACATGCTAGGTGTTTCGGGGTTTTCTGATGTCCTGCGGGAGAGTTACAATTCCGAGACTGGAACCGGACGCCTGTACCTGCAAAACAAACGGATGCTCCGGATGATTGGAGATCCGCCTCCGACGGTCAAGTTAGTACTTGATTAAGGAGTAATTAATGCGGAAATTAAAGTGATTGGGTCTCTCTAGGTGAGAGTGTTTAATGTGTGTAATCTGCGTTTTTAGCGTGTTTTTCTCCCTTAATGAGGATTAAGGGAGGTATTTATAACCTCGGGAAACGTGTCAATCTAGGTTTAGGTTAACCTTGGGCTGATTGGGCTTCCCTCGGGAGTTGGGCCTAGGTGACCGGTTATCCCAGGTGTCATGAGAAGGACACGTGTCGTGTCGTAATTGGTCCATAGTGGACGGATCATTGCTTGACACGTGGCAGGCTCCTATTGGCCCATGTGACGGACACATGGCGGAACCTGATTGGTCCACTTGTCAGATGGTGATTGGTGGGGAAAAATCCCCTAATCATTTGCCCCTCACAGGTGGCACGTGACTGGTCACGTGTTACCTGTGACAGGTATCGCCCTATAACAGGCGACGACCTGCTACAGGTGTCACTCGGCGAGAGGCCGAGAGATTCTCCCGCCAAAATTTTGAATTCTGGAAGTGACCCTTCGCCTTCTCACTTCGCCTATATAAAGGAGTGTTGACTTCGGTCATTTTTACACTTGAAAACTTTGTGAGAGAACATTCGGACCCCTGAACTTGCTCTGACATTTTGGACCCTTTATGCCTACCGCCTGCTCTGACAAGCCGACTGCAAAGGATTTTCAGAACTTCATCAATCGTCACTCGTTCAGGTAACCGTCGGTTCTCTTACTCTTAATTTTCTCTTTACTTTATTCTTTTTTGAAATGGCACCACGGAAGCACACGACACGACCTAGGTTAGTGATCAGCCGGTCACCGGGGACGGCTGAATCTAGGACTAGGAGTGCCGCCTGCCCTTTTCTGGACCCATCTTTGCCCTTTATACAAAGTCCGACTGTATCTGTGTCTATGCAGAGCATGATGGCCAGAACAAAAAAGACTGCCAGGATCTCAAACTCAGACGGCTCCTCCCACAGGGTGCCGATTAGTGAAACATCTGACCAGGCGCCAGATGTGGAAGTGAAACAAAGCGGCTTGAAAGCCGGCAGTTTTGAGGGAGGAGTCAAAGTGACCCCTTCCCATTTTACAGTTGACAATTCTACATTCTCTCCTGCTCCTTTTAAAGGAGAGGAGGCGGGCCCCTCCGGGAGAGGGGAGGAGTCGTCCTCTTCGGACTCGTCAGAGGACGATTCCGAGTCTAGCTCTTCTGGCCATGCTTCTCTGGACACAGAAGAGAAAAACAGTCGCCTACAAGAGGCGAGGCTTTCTCACGCAGTTGAGAAGGGGGACGATTGGGCGGAGCCATCCGCCTCGCACAGAGAGCAAAATACCCCCTACTACTGCACGGTACCTCGGGGCCGGATCACAGCCATGCAAGAGAAAGTGGAGAGCTTTATTGCAAACCACACAATGGGCCCCGGCTTTTTAGTGTTCGTGCCGGATCCAGAAGACACAGTCGTCTGGCCGGCTGGTACCAGTTATGATAGCGCCTGCTTTGGCTGCTACGAGGCGGCCATCAAGGCTGGGCTGCGCTTCCCACTACATCCAGCTGTTCAGCGGATCTTGGATGGGTATGAGTTGGGGTTATGGCAGTTAGCCCCGAACTCCTGGGTCAACGTACTCGGCTATGTGGCCGGGTGCGAACTGCACGGGGTGGAGCCGAGCTTCGAGGCTTTCGCCCACATGAACTACCTCAGCCGGACCCCTAAGGCAGGCGGTACCGGCTGGTATCAATTGACGAGCCACAGGGGCTACCTCATGACGAGAGGTAAAGCAAAAAAATGGAAGGACTGGCGGAGCACCTTCCTCATCATTGAGAGTTCAGACACAGAGCTGAACAAGCGCTTCAACAGGTGGAACAGGAATCCGCCCCTTCTTGCAGGCGGCCGCAGCATGCCGCCTGTTCCCCCCAAGGCTAAGAAAGAGATCCTAGATAAAGGACTCTTCAAAGTAGAGTCGAAGGTGAACTCTACTTCAGGGGTACGAGAGCAAAAACCCCTGCACTGCGTCCCGAGCTTCAAATGGCTCTACGACGAGTACTTTTTGGCCGCCTGTGGCCTCAGCAGTCGGTGCTCAAGAGGTAGCCGGCCTGTCGAATACTCTGCTTTTCCGTGCATTTATTGTTATGTCTTTTATTAACTTTGCTATTTGTTTTTGCAGCGGACGCCATGAGCAAAATTACCGCCTCCAAGACTGCGGCGGCCATGTTGCGGGCCTCCATCATGCAACAGTGTTCAACCGACTCCCCCAACAAGGGGGCACCCTTGGTGGGCTTCGAACCTTTCACCCTCTTTTTGGAGTTGTGTTTATGCATATACTGACTCTTTTCTTCTTTTTTAGACGAGCGCTCCAAGAGCTTCTTCTTCCCAACAGCCGGACCCCAAGGCCCGGAGGACGACTGTTGCGAGCTCTCCTGGTTCTGCCAGGAAACATGTGGCGGCTGAGAAACAGCCGGCCACTTCTTCTAAAACTCCAGCTGGGCCACCTAGAAGTATGAAATTGTCCTTGTAAATTTTAGACTTGCTCCCTTCTTTACTAGGTCTAATCCGTTTGTTTATGCTTGATGCAGCCGGTCCTCAGGAGCCTGACTTGGTCGAGGTGGCCAAGTCTATGATCAAGGTCGTTCCTCCAGCTGAAAGGGAGGCGGTCAGGGGTGTCGGCACCCTTGACCTAGACGGGATTGCAGGGGTCCTTGCTGAGGTATACTTAGCATATTTTTGAGTATTTGAATTCCAGGACGCCTGTTTTCTTTTTTGTTTGGAAACTGACGCCTGTTCCCCTTTTTACTTAGGCCCTGCTCCGAGTGAACGGCCTTCGCAAGCCGCTTGACCGGAAGAACAAAGAGGTAAAGGCTGCAAAAGCTATGGCCGCCTCTGACTGTGATAAGGCAATGTTTCAAATTGCCCAAAATGAAGTTCTGACCATTGATATTCTTTATTATCAGGCGCAGGCTACCGCCGCTATCCGGGCTCAGTTAGAGGCGGCCCAGAAGAGGAATAGCGAGCTAGAGGCGACCATCAACAACCTCAAGGCCGAGCTGAGACCTCTTCGCCAAAAGATGTCCTCATACGAAACCTTGGAGAAATCCTTGGCGAGCGTAAAGGTACGCCTGGTGACCCAGGAGAAGAGTCTTACTCAGGAGCTCTCGGAAAAGGCCGAGCAAGAAAAGAAAGAGCTGGTCCGGGAGATGATGGAAGACTCTGCTCAAATCCAGCGCATGACTTGGGGCCGCCTCTTCCCCAATGCCGACTTTTCCTCATGGGAAAAAACGTACCGCCAGTGTTCTGATAGATATAATCAAGAGATCCTGGCGGCTGCTGAGGAAGAGGCGTTGGAGGAGGAGGAGGAGCCGGTAGTGGCGCTTGTGCCGCTTGGGGGTAATGCATCAAAGAAGGATGCAGCTGAAGCCGAGTCCAGCAAGAAGAGTGCTGACCAGGCGGCAGCTGCTAATATTGAAGATCTGCCCCCTTCTTAAGCTTTATGTCTTCTTTCCACGGCCTGCGTGCCGTTTGTTTTGTATTTACCCGGCCAGGGGGTCGGGGCTCTGAATATTTTGCCGGCCTTTAATGACCGGCTTCTTTTTAATGAATTTTTTTTTTTTGTTTTGCTTCAAATTTGTTTAAGTATTGAATATTCTGATATCCAATTGTACACTATACCGACTGTTTTACATGGCCAATAGTTGCAGACAGGTACGGATAGTTAGTCACGCCGCCTATGCCCCTGGACGACTGGTTGTCTGTTTCCAGGCTAGACGATCAGTCGACCATTTATCCAATCGGTATTCGAACCATTTTTAAGACTGGATCCCCTTTAGGCAGGCGGTTCTGTCACATAAAATTAACCAAGTAGGAAAGTGGTTTCCTACTTGTCATGTTTTTAGGCTAGAGACTTTAGGCCGTCTAGGCCGACTGTTTCCCGCCATATTTAATCTAGTGTGAACAGGTGCTGTATGAACACCTTTTTAATTTCATACTAAAATTTTTAAGGAGTGACCAAGTAAACATGATTGTTACCTAGTCGCCAAGTAACTGAGTAGTAGAGGTATCAAGCGGTGGATACCGGTTGTTCCCCTTTATTCGCCAATGTTTGTTGGCTTTTAACTCATAAGTTGTTAACCTAGCAGGAGTAGTGGTTGAGAGCCCCTGTTTGCTAAAAACAGGCGGACGACTCATA